TTGGAATATTATTTTATCCCATCCTTTGGTTGGTTCAGTTGATTCAGAATTCATTTTGAGGCACTATTTTGACATTGTTTAGAGGGGAATTTGGGAGAACTCAGGTAAGTTCCTGCCTTTACTCCACCATCTTGGCTCTGCTCCCAGACCAAGGGTTCTTAACCTGCATTCCACTGACCCTCAAGAAGTCTGTGGATAGATTACAGGGGTCCATGACCTTGGATAGGTGGAAAAGCTACATTTCTACTTTTTAAAAGTTTCAATTGGTCTCTTTTTTTTTTTCCCAACCCCATAATTTCTCCTAACATCCCTCCTCTTCTTCCTCCCTAAGAGTTATCTCATAAAATAAATAGCATTTTGTAGACAAAAGAGAGGGAGACAGAGACAGACAGACAGACACACACACATACAGAGGGAGAGAGAGAGAGAGAGAGAGAGAGAGAGAGAGAGAGAGAGAGAGAGAGAGAGAGAGAGAGAGAGAGAGAAACAGCATAACTGATGGATATAGCCAAAAAAGTGTGAAAATCTGCACTGTGCCACCTGCATGTCTTGACCTCCCACCTGGGCAGAGGATCTTTTTTCGAGCCAGGCTTGTTCTTTGTAAATTTGCATTGCTCACTTTGGGTGGTCTTCTGGTAGTTATTCTTTCCATTGACAGTGTGGTCCTCATGGCCCTTGTTTTGTTTGTTTGGTTTTGTTTTTTGGGTTTTTTTTGGCTCAGCTCGATTCCCTTAGTAAGGCTAACCTCTCTTCATGCACAAGTGATCCTATTCTAGTCCATCTTCTCCAGCAGGCTGCCCTCTCTATTATCCCCACTCTTTCACTCACTCTATTCCAATCTCTCTACTGACTATTTCTGTACTGCCAAAAACCATGCTTGTGTGTCTCCCATCCTCAAAAGGCCCTCACCAGATATACCTAACTTTCATCTCATACCTCTCTTCCCCTTTGTGGATAAACACCTTTGGGGTTTAGAAGGTTGCCTATAACAGGTACCTCCTTTTGCCCTCCTCTTACTCTCTTCTTTACCCTTTACAGTTTGGCTTCTGACCTCATTAATCAACTGAAGCTGCTCTCTCCAAAGTTACTCAGGATCTCTTAGTTCTCTTAGTTGCCAAATGCAGTAGCCTTTTCTCAGTCTTCACCCTTCTTGACCTCTCTGCAGCCTTCAACATTGGCACCCACCGTCTTGTCTTGAGGTTTTCATGACGCTGCTCTATCCTGGTTCTCATTCTCCTCCTCTGACTGCTTCTTCATGGTGCTCTTTGCTAGATCTTCATCCGATGGTGGGGGTCCCCCAGGGCTCTGTCCTGGGCCCTCTTCTCCCTCGAGACTATTTCACGTGGTGACCTCATCAGCTCCCGGGGATTCAATTCTCATTTCTATGCAGATGAGTCTCACATTGATTTGTCCAGCCCTCTCTGATTTGTCAGTGCTCTCTGCTGACTTCTAGTCTCACATGTCCAATTGCCCAGTGGAAATCTCAAAACCGGATGTCATGTAAACATCTTAAACTCAACATATTAAAAATGGAATTCATTATCTCTTCCCTGAAACCTTCCCCCCACAGCTTCCCTATTACTTTTCATGGTACCCCTATCCTTGCAGTCACCCAGACGTGCAATCTATGTGTCATCCCTGACTTCTCACTTTCTCTCACCTCCCATATCCAATCTGTTGCCTACTTCTGTTGTTTCTATCTTTGTAACATCTCACAAATACACTCCCATCTCTCCTGTGACACTAGCATTCCCTGGTGCAGGTTCTCATCACTTCATACCTTGATTATTGCAGTAGCTGCTGTGGGAGGTGGGGAGCCCTGCCTGCCTCAGGTCTCTCCCCCCTTCAATCCATCCTCTACTCAGCTGCCAAAGTGATTTTCCAACCATAGAACTCACTCAAGAAACTTCAGTGGCTCCCTATCATCTCTAGGATCAAATAGAAAATTCTCTGTTGGACATTCAAAGCCCTTCATAAGCTGGTCCCTGCTACTTTTCCAGTCTTCTCACATGTTGCACACCTCCATGTACTCTGGGATCCAGTGACACTAGCCTCCTGGCTTTTCCATCTCTCTGGCCATTCTCGCTGCCTGTCACTAGACATGAAATCCTCTCCCTTCTCATCACTACCTCTTGGCTTCCTTCAGGTCCCAGCTAAAGTCTTACCTTCTAAAAGAAGCCTTCCTGGATTCCCCTTTATTTTCAGTGCCTTCTCTCTGTTTTATCCAGGTTATGACTTGTTTGTACGTGGCCATTTGCATGTTGTTTCCCCCATTGAATTGTGAGCTCCTTGAGGGCAGAGACTGGCGTTTGCCTCTTTTTATATCCCACAACCTGGCACAGTGCTTGGTGTGTAGGAGGTGTTTAAGTAAATATTTATTGACTTTGATTATTGATTGATTGATTGGGGTTTTGCCTTGGCCTGAGAAAGAGAGGAAGGGCAGCTAGGTGGTGCTGCAGTGGATAGAGCTCTGGGCCTGGAGTCAGGAAAACATCTTCCTGAGTTCAAATCCAGCCTCAGACACTTGCTAGCTGTGTGACCCTGGGCAAGTCACTTCACCCTATTTGCCTCAATTTTTTCATCTGTGAAATGAGCTGGAGAAGGAAACAGCAAATCACTCCAGTAACTTTGTAGAGAAAACCCCAAATGGGGTCATGAGACTGAACAACAAATATGACTATATGAGAAAGAGAGGAGACATAAAGGAAAGACTAAATTATAGGAGATTTTGATGTATCAAGATAGACAACAGATATAGGAGACCCAGAATTAATGAAAGGCTGAAATGGGAGTGTGTGTGTGTGTGTGTGTGTGTGTGAGAGAGAGAGAGAGAGAGAGAGAGAGAGAGAGAGAGAGAGAGAGAGAGACAGACAGACAGACAGGCAGACAGAGACACAGACAGAGAGAGACACAAACTGAAACATCATTGCAGGTTTCTGTAACTTTCTTTAGCTGTAAGAACCAGAGTCCAATTTTGGGAATGTGTGAGGAGTTGAGGTAACTCTCAGGACCCTCTACAGTAAAAGGTGATTACTTCTCCTTTAACATTGTGGTTTGGTCACCATCGGAGAGTTGAGTGGTTAGAATCTCTCACTATTTTTATTTTGTTTCTAATTCTGTTTGAAACTTAGTAAACTCTTTGATAAAATTCCTTCCTATGGCATAGGTGCATAAATGCCTAATAGCTACAACTTTGGAAGTAGCTACATTGCAGAATTGTTACAATGGAGGAAGAAGTATTTGGGACACCAACCAAGAAAGGATGCGGCTGAAAATCCTCAGCCTCAGGGTATCCGTAGACAAAGGCCAAGGAAATCAACGGTTTCAAGTGAAGGTGGCAAACTTGGTCTCCTAGGGGCAGCTAGGTGGCTAGAGCACTGGCCCTGGAGTCAGGAGGACCTGAGTTCAAATTCTGAACTCAGACACATAACACTCACTAGCTGTGTGACTCTGGGCGAGTAGTGAGAAAAAAGCCAACCAACAAAAACAAACAAACAAAAAAAGAAAACTTGGTCTCCTAAGCATTGGTTCAGCCTGAACTCTGACTCTGAAAGAACAGATTCAAATGAGCCATTCTTCAGCAAGCTGGGAGCTTGTTGGGTCCAACCATCCAGGCTTCTGTGGGTCCAGATGAATTGGCAGAGGAATGGCAAACCAAGGCAGGCAGCCTGAGCTGCCAGGGAGGGCCAACCTTCCAGGATGAAGGACATGACAGCCCCATTGTCATTTCTGAGATCTGGGATCAAAGGATGTTGACAAGCTGGAGGAAGGCTACCAGGCTGGCCAAGGGCCTGGAGACCACATCCTATGTAGAAGATTTGGAAGTACATGAGAGTTTCTCCAACTACTCGAAGGGCTGACACATGGAGTTGACAAGGATAAGACTTGTCCTATCTGGCTCCAGAGGGCAGAAGCAGATTCAGTGATAACAGTTGCAAAGCTCTTCCCAGTCAGGCCAAAGTGGGAGACTCAGGCTTGAGATCCTTCTTCCAAAGGAGGATCAGGACTAAGGATGGGGTGGGGGAGGGGGGTCATTGGTGGCTAGGTTCAAAAAGGATCCCTGACAAAATTTGTTTCTAACGAAAAGTGTCAAACCTGGAAAAACTCAGACCAACGAGGTGATCAGTAAATAGTGAGGCATTTATTCAGGGTGTGGGAATTGTATTTCGGGCCAATGGGCTGCCTTATTCAGACAGGGATACCTGGAGAAGGGGAGAAAGGAGATTCTTAGTGTAGGGCATAAGGATACATAGAACAGCCAGGCTGCAGGAAAGGAGTGTTGAGAAAGCAGGAAAAAAGAAAAGAAAAGAAAAGACCACATTTGTAGGGGTGTCCTTGCTATTATCTCTGTCTGGGAACAGGAGTGGTTAGAAACTGCTGGGGAATGGGGGGGGTTCCTCCTTGGGGGGCAGTTAGAAACTGCTCATCAGCACAGGGTAGGGGCCCAGAGATTCCCAAGGGTTGACAAGAGCAAGGCTTTTTCCTCACCATTGTGCGCTGCATGGGGATGCCCCTCCCTGGAGGCCTTCAAGTCAAGGCTGGTTGCTGTGTACTTGGAGGGGGTTGGGGAATTCAGATTCCTGTTTAGAATAGACTATATGACCATTGAGCCCATTTTCATCCTTGAGTCTGGGAGGTGAGATAGTGAAAGTCCCGGTCACCTCCAGTCTTCAAGGACGACCCCCAGGGAAGGGTTGAGGGAGGACTCCGGTTAAAGTCAGAGTTGGGCTAGATGGCCTCTGTGACACCCCTTTCAGAGCTGGGAAAGAAATCTCGGTGGGCTTCCAGGAGGAAGTGGCCTGGGGGAAGGGGTTGGAAGCCTTTGAAGTCACCTGTCCCAGGGACCCCTAAGACGTCCCTTCCGAAACCTGCCCTGTCTACATTCCCGAAAAGGCCAATGACCATCGACCAGCCCGACTCCCTTGCTCCCCTCCTCTGGTGGCGCGCCTGCGCGCAGGGAGTAGGGGTGGGGGTAGCGAGAAGAGCAGCGGAAGGGGAAGGCGCGCCGACGAGAGCAGCTGAGGCTGTTCAATGATTGCAACGCTCCGCCCCCCTCCCTGCCGCTGCCACTGCTACTGCTCCTCCCCCCGCTGCGGCTGCGGCTGCGGCGGCTGCTGGACATCCAAAAGGCCGCCATGGACGTGCTCAACCAGGTGGGGAGATGCGGAGGCGACCGAGGGCGCTTCAGCACCACGGACAGCCACCCCGAGCTAGTTCCTAGGCCCCAGGGGTCGCTCCTCCCCTTCCCGGAGGGCTCAGGGAGGGTAGCCAAGAGATTGAACAAAAGGGCGGGGCGGGGCGGGGGGGGGGAGTGTGCAAGAGGTAAAGGAGGCAAAGGGGAAGGGGGATGGGGGGCGCAGAGGTGAAGGAACCGGAGGGGAAGGGGATGGGGGGGTAGAAGGTGAAAGGGCCAGAGGGGAGAAGGGGCCTGGGGAGGGGCAAAAGGTGAAGGGGGGGGCTTGAGGAGGGGCAGGAGATGAAGTAGCCAGAGGTCAGGGGGACGTGGGGGGGCGGGAGGTAAAGGAGCGAGGGGGTGGTGTCTGGGGAGGGGTAGGAGATAAAGGAGTCAGTCAGGGGGACCTAGGCAGAATGGAGCAGGAATTGAAGGAGCCAGAGGTCAGGAGAACAGGGGGCAGAAGATAAAGGAGCCAGAGAAGGGAGGTTGGCTGGAGGTGAGGGAGCCAGAGGGGAGGGGGTGGGGGGCAAGATGAGCCAGAAGGGAAGGAGTCCTGAGGGGGGCAGGAGATGAAGAAACCAGGGAAGGAGGGGGGCTGTCTGAAGGACAGATGAATTGGGGGAGGAAGGCATCCAGGGGACAGATGAAGGAATCAGGCTGTGAGGGGCAGTGCCCAGGGGGCAAGAGATAAAGGAGACCCAGGAAGGGAGGAGAACATTCAGGGGGTACGAGATGAGGGGTGGGGAATGAGGCTTGTCAAGGGGCCAGGAGCTGAAGAGGGCTGCACGGCAAGAAGAAGCCTGGAATTGAGAAAGGTGGGGAAGGAAGATGAGTCTCAGAGAATGAAGGGAAGGCCCGGTTGACTAGTAGTGATGATCAGTTGGGGAGGGAGAAACCCCAGAGGACGGCCAGGAGGAGAAAAGGAAGGTCAAGAAGGGACAGGCAATGAGAAGATGCAAAGGGAAATGGGAGAAAACAAATTCCTGAGGGCATCCAGTAAGGAGTGAAATAGAAAGATTTTGGAGGAGAAGGAAGGCAGGAAGCTGCCATCCTGCAAAAGCCCCAGGCTCAGTGAGAGGGAGAAAGCCTAGGGGTCCCCCAGGAAGAGGCAGGAAGCTGGAGCTAAAAACCAATTAGCTAAGGGGAGGAGGGAGCATCCTAGGAAGAAAGGCAAAGGGGATTTGCTGTTGAGGGATGCAGATGGAACAGATAGAGAAATCCCAAAAGGCATCCAGAAAAAAGAGGAAACAGCCCTGGAAGTGACAGGGGAGAAGAGGTGGAAAAATTCAGGAGGGTCACCAGGGAGAAGAGCAGGCTTGCCCAGGAAGTAGAGGAATTAGGGACTAGTAGAGAATCGATGGATGTAGAAGAGGTTTGTGGGTGGGGAGAGGAGAAGAGAGGAGAGGAGGGGGGGGGAGAGAGAGAGAGAGAGAGAGAGAGAAAGAGAGAGAGAGAGAGAGAGAGAGAGAGAGAGAGAGAGAGAGAGAGAGAGAGAGAGAGAGGAGGAAGGAGGAAAGGAAAGAGGGGGGAGGGAAGGAGAAAGAGAGAGCAAGGGGGGGGAGGAAGGGAGAGGGGAAGGGAGGGGAGGGGAGAGAAAGAGAGAGGGAGAGAGAGAGGGAGGGGGAGAGAGAGAGAAATCTTGGAGATCATCCAGAAGGAAGAACATTGACTTGGGGGTTTGATGGATAAGAAATTCTGGAGAAACATCTAAGTGAAATAGGAAGTCTGAATTTTGGGGAGAAGGAGGGAAAGAGAAGGGAGGTGGATCTAGCAGGAGTGGGGAAGGAGAGAGACAGGGAAGATAATGGTCCTGGGGAGGAGATGAATATGGAGATTCCCAAGGGCATTCCAGAGAAGGAAGGATTAGATGTATGAACATAGATGTTGATAGCAATGGAGACAGGGCACCGTGGCAGAGGAGGGAAGGTTTGAAGTGAAGAAAGTGGGGGTGGGGATGGGATGGGATAATGAGGATGGAGATATGAAAGCAGGAATCCCAGAGAAGGAGGAAGCTACCTGAAGATAAGGTGAGAGGAAGGTGAAGGTGGCAATCCTGGAATGAATCCAGGAGGATGAGGGATGAATTTTGTGAGGGAAATGGACAATTCCTGGCTGGATCATATATGAGCAGATGGCCTAGAAAGAAGACTAGGTGGGAGAAAAAGGGAGATAGATGGAGAAATTCTAGAGTTGGAAGAGTCAGAGTGAGAAGAGGTTTGGAAGGTGGAGAGTGTGTGTGTGTGTGTGTGTGTGTGTGTGTGTGTGTGTGTGTTACTCTGTTGAGCTGAGAAAATAGGGTGACAGAAGGCAGGGTGAGAAGAAGGCCAGAGGGATGGTGAGAAGACTGGGAAGAAGTGTTGATTGACCCAAAAGGTAGGGTCCCCATTCCCTTCCCCACCCCAGTCACCTTGGATAGGAGCAGTGCCCTTTGCAGAACTAAGTGGGAAGCTGGTCAGCAGCCTGTGCTCAGAGCTCCCCCTTCCCATTCCACACTTGCTCCTATAGCCCTGTCTCTCCTCCATCCCTTTAATTTTCTCTTCCCTCCTTCCCTTTTTGTCCTCTTCCTCTTCTCTTCCTTCATTGGTCCTCTCCTTATCTCCCTCCCCATCCCTTTTCTTCTCCTCTTTTTTAATCTCCATATTTTCCCTTCTTCCATCTTTCCTTCTCCTCATCCTTTCTTGTCTCTCTACAGCTGGTGGCTGGAGGTCAGTTCCGGGTGGTCAAGGAGCCCCTGGGCTTCCTGAAGTTACTGGAATGGGTGAGTCTCTTTTGTGGAGAATTTCTAGAGGGATGAGGTTAAGGTGGGTTTCTATCTGGTTCCCAAGAGGGGGAATCCTGGTGAGGAGGGGAACAACTAATTCTGATCTGGAACAGACCCATGGGAGAGGCTGAGGAGAAGGGGAGGCCCCAGTTAATCCACTCTCAACCTTGGTAGGCAGAGAGATGGGAATAGAGGGTAGGGCATGGCTTATCCTGGATTAGGAGACAAGAGGGCCAAAGGATTGCTGAGCCATCTGCCACCTGCCTGGCCACCCACTGGGTGAGAGGAGGGAGGGAGAGAGAAGGCAGCTAACTGAAGCCAGGCAAAGCTATGGAATTAGGATGCCTAGATTTCATCAAAGGTGTTTGATAGTTTCTCAATGAAAGTCTACTTGGATGGGTTCAGAGATGGTTAAATGGATAAATCCTAGTAGTGAATAATAGATTAAGGTAATTCTGGAGGGAGGAGGTCTCTGGTAGCAGCCCCTGGACTCCACCTTCTATTTTGTTCTAGTCAGAAGCAATGGAGGAAGAGGATGTTGGAGAAATCTAGGGGGACCTCCCAGGAGGAGCAGGGGGGAGCTGGGTGGAGCAGCTGGGGGAGGTGGTGTTTAAGGGAGGGTTGCAGAAGTAGGTGAATGGGGGAGGGGACAGAGACAAACAGACAGAGAGGGAAAGAGAGACAGGAGGGGGGAGAGAGAAATCCTGACATTCTGGGTTGGAATAGATGACCACTGGGCTCCCTTTGAGGTTTGGGGGGGGTTAGGGTTTGTTTTTTAAATAAGCCATGAAGATGTTGTTTATTAATTTGGGGTTCACCTTGAACTGGGAGGAGATAGAAGAATCAAGATTCAAAAATCATCACTGTGATGGGCTAGAAAGAGCCCAGCTTTGGAGTCCCAGGGCCAGGATTCAAATCCCACCTCAGTAGTTGTAAAACCTCAGGGAAGTCCCTTTCCTTCTCAGGACTTTGGTTTTCTCCTGTGTCAAATGACACACTGGTCCTCCAGGTGACCTGAGTTCCCTTCCACTTCTTAATCCAGTGATCCTAAGATAATGAGCCAGGGCTAATAAAATGAACATTGACAGGGAGCAATGTAAAGTAATGTAAACCTTGACTCTCAAATAATCAATTGGTGAAGTAGAGGATGAGGAAGACCTGTCTAGACTACTGTGTCCAGGTTTGGGGGCCAAACATAAGAAGGCCATGCAGAAGCTGGAATATGTCCAGATGCATGGCTGAGTAGGGGATGAGGAGGAGCCAGGCCCCATGAGGGTCAGAAGAGGAAGAGGGACAGTTGAGCCTGGAGAAGCTTTGGCATGGGCAGAGGTTTGGTTTGGATGGCCCTTCTAATCCTGTCTTCAAGGATTGGAAGGGCCAGCGTGGACATATGGGGTTAGATTTGCTCTCCTTGCCCCCAGAGGGCACCAAGGAGCCATGGGGGGGGATGGGACACGAAGAGTCTCAGAGGTAGAAGAGACCTGACATCCAGCCCAGACTGGCTCTGCCCTCTGGGGGCCAAGCAGAACAAAGCTAGGCCCTCTTCCTTCACATCCACCTGTCTCCCAGCTCAACAATGGTCAGATGGCGTGATCTTGAGGACCCTCCCATCCTCTTCAGCCGACGGGACACACTCCAGCTTCTCCTCCCAAAACAAAATACAATCCTCTCAACAGAGGCCAGAGGGACCCCTTCACATCCCACAGCTTAGGACCAAACGACTGTCATCCAACCAGGCTCCACCATCTCAGGCTTGGGAATCCAAGGAAGAGAGTATTTCTATAGCATTTTCTCTCATTGGCATCAATCAGGTGCTCCAGCCTGGCCAGATCTTTGTGGGTCCTGACTGCCTGTCTCCCATTCTGTTAGCTGTATTGCTCCCAGCAGGGCGCCATCTGCAGGTTTGCTAAGCGACCAGCTAGGCCTTTATTCAATTCCCTGCTAAAAACGTGAAGCTGTCCAGGGCCCGACATACATCCCGAGGGCAATCCAGTAGAGACTCCCTGCCAAGGTGACAGTGAGCCATTACTGACCACACTTGGGCCATGCCATTTAAATGGTGCTGGCTTCTTATAACTGTCTGATCATCTGGCCCAAACCTTTCCATCTTCTCCACTAGAATAATACGAGAGATTGGATCAAATACGTTGTTAAAATCTAGGCAAACTACCTCCACAACCTACCCCGCATTTCCTAGTTTCGTGACCTGAGGGGGAAAAAAAGGCAGTGTGCTCAGTGAGGCTTGCTGAAGCTGGGCTGGCCTTTGGGGCAGGCACTGCCTTCGGCTGATTGGACCAGTCATCCTTTTAACACAGCCTGTACCCTTTGTCCCTGAGTAGCCTGAGCTCTCTCTGTCTCTCTCTTCTGTCTCTATCTCTGCCTATCTGTCTCTGTGCCTGTCTGTCTGTTCTCTCTCTCTCTTTTCTCTCTCTCTCCCTTCTCTTCTCTTTCTCTGTCTCTGTCCCTCTGTCTCTGTCTCTCTCCATCTCTCTCTCTCCTTTCTCTTCTCTTTCTCTCTCTCTCTGTCTCATTCCAGGTAAAATCCTAAGGCCAGCTCAATGCTTTCATAGCATGCTATGGAATATTCATCACCTAATGGCACAGGTGGGGCAGTTGGAGCTTGATAGAAGGAAGAACTTCTCGGCCATCTTGGTCATCCCAAAGTGGATGAGCCTTCCTCATGGGCTGTAGAGCACCCTTTACCAGATGGCTCCAAGTGGGCCACTGGTGGAGAATGTCGTAGCAAGGCTCTTGGTTCAAGTAGGGGTGACCTTCGATGACCCTCAAGGGCCCTTCCCACTTGGAGTGTCTGTATGACTGTGTTCCTGTGTTTCTCCACTGCCCAAGGTCTTTGCCATTTTCGCCTTTGCTACTTGTGGTAGCTACACAGGGGAGCTGAAGCTCAGCGTGGAATGTGCCAACCGGAGTGAAAGCCAGCTCAGCATCGATGTGGAGTTTGCCTACCCTTTCAGGTGCCCGGGCTCCCCCAGACTCCTCAGGATTCCCAGAGGGAGACTTCTTCCACGCCAGGGGCCCCTAGACCTAAACCCCTCCAGACTCATAATCTCTAAATTCTGCATTGCTCAAATTCTGCCCCCTCCCAGCCCCTGCCTGAGGTCCTCTGGCACTCCCTGGGCCTCACTCCCCTGGTGTCTTTTCCTGTCCCCATAGCTGTTCCTCCCTCTGTCTGGGCCCTATCTTTTCTCTGTCTCTAGCCCTCTTTTCTGGTCTCCACATCTCTGTGTACTGCCTCTCCCTTCACTTTGTTTGTAATCTCTAAGTCTACTCTTATCTCTACCACACTCCTTTCTCTGTCTCTGCTCCATGGGGGCTGCTCTGTGGTCTGGATGGGACCTCCTGGGAGGGAAATGATAGGAATGGCCCAGAGCAGTGTGGGACCCCACTCACAGCCTCTCTTATAGAAGAGTACAAGTGAGTCTGGGAAGCACCACAGCCTGTGCCCTTTGTCCCTGAGTAGCCTGAGCTCTCTCTGTCTCTCTCTGTATCTATCTCTGTCTCTCTGTGTGTGTCTCTCTCTGTCTCTCTCTTCTTTCTCTTCTCTTTCTCTGTCTCTCTCTGTCTGTCTCTCTGTCCTGTCTCTGTCTCTGTGCCTGTCTGTCTGTTCTCTCTCTCTCTTTTCTCTCTCTCTCCTTTCTCTTCTCTTTCTCTCTCTGTCTCTCTCTATCTGTCTCTCTGTCTCTCTCTTCTTTCTCTTCTCTTTCTCTGTCTCTCTCCATCTCTCTCTGTGTCTCTGTCTCTCTCTTCTGTCTCTGTCTCTGTGCCTGTCTGTCTGTTCTCTCTCTCTCTTTTCTCTCTCTCTCCTTTCTCTTCTCTTTCTCTGTCTCTCTCTGTCTCTCTCTGTCTGTCTCTCTGTCTCTTTTCTTTCTCTTCTCTTTCTCTGTCTCTCTCCATCTCTCTCTTCTGTCTCTGTCTCTGTGCCTGTCTGTCTGTTCTCTCTCTCTTTTCTCTCTCTCTCCTTTCTCTTCTCTTTCTCTCTCTCTCTGTCTCTCTCTGTCTCTCTGTCTCTCTCTTCTGTCTCTGTCTCTGCCTATCTGTCTCTGTGCCTGTCTGTTCTCTCTCTCTCTTTTCTCTCTCTCTCCTTTCTCTTCTCTTTCTCTCTCTCTGTCTCTCTCTGTCTCTCTGTCTCTCTCTTCTGTCTCTGTCTCTGCCTATCTGTCTCTGTGCCTGTCTGTTCTCTCTCTCTCTTTTCTCTCTCTCTCCTTTCTCTTCTCTTTCTCTCTCTCTGTCTCTCTCTTCTGTCTCTTCTCTTTCTCTGTCTCTCTCCATCTCTCTCTGTGTCTCTGTCTCTCTCTCTACCCCCCCCCCGCCTCGCCCCCTCCACCCCCACCCCAGGACAGGAGCTAGGTGTTTAGTAGGACTCAGGCCTAACTTTGGCCTTGTCTCATCCCTGCCCAGGCTGCATCAAGTGTACTTCGATGCCCCCACCTGTCAGAGCAACGGTGCCAAGAAGGTCTTCCTAGTGGGTGATTACTCCTCTTCTGCTGAGTTCTTTGTCACTGTGGCCGTGTTTGCCTTCCTCTACTCCACAGGCGCCCTGGCCACCTACATCTTCCTCCAGGACAAGTACCGAGAAAACAACAAGGGCCCCATGATTGTGAGTCGTCCCCAGCCCCCTGCCCCCCGGCCTGGCGTGCACATGCCAAGGCAGCTGGCTGCGCCCTACCTCTAGGAGTGCCCCTGGGGCTCCATGTGGCCTCAGCCCTCTTTTCCCTTGTGTCCCCCTCCCTACAGGACTTCTTGGTCACTGCAGCCTTTGCTTTCCTGTGGCTGGTGAGCTCCTCTGCCTGGGCCAAGGGCCTGTCTGATGTGAAGATGGCCACTGACCCAGAGAACATCATCAAGGGTATGAGCAGCATCTGTTCCCAGCCCAGTGTGTCCTGCAAGGAGCTGAGGGAGCCTGTCACCTCAGGCCTCAACACCTCCGTGGTGAGACAGCCCTTTCCTTCACTTCTCTGGGCTTCAGTTTACCCCTGTGGAAGGGAAGGGGCCTCTCAGGCCCCATATCTGGCTCTGATATTCCGGGAGTCTCCGGAGCAGTGGGTGGAATGGAGATCTTGGGGAGGGCTGGAGGGCCTGGGGAGGGGGTGATCAGGCAAGAACTGAGGGAGGGGGGGTCCTTTGGCTTCTCTGTCACCTGCAGGTATTTGGGTTCCTCAATCTGGTCCTGTGGCTGGGCAACGTGTGGTTTGTGTTCAAGGAAACTGGCTGGTCTGCACCATTCCTGCGCCCACAGCCCCCTGCCCCAGAGAAGCAGCCTGCACCCCCAGGAGAATCCTATGGAGAGGCTGGCTATGGGCCCCAGGGTGGCTACCAGCCTGACTACGGGCAGCCAACAGGCGGCATGGGAGGCTATGGGGGCCAGCCCACAGATTATGGCCCCCAGGGAGCGCCCACCTCCTTCTCTAACCAGATGTAGGGCTCTGGAGGCAGGGGGTGGGGGTGCAGGATCCAGGAGACTTCCAACCAGCTATGTGCATTCTCTCTCTCTCTCTAGGCTGGGATGGGGGGGAGTGAGACACTCACCTGTGCCACCTCCTACAGGAAGCCCTCTGGTGTGGGCGAGTGCACGTGTGCCTGTGTGTGTGTGTGCATAGTAGGGAATATCAGAACCTGCCTAGGAGCCCCAAGGTCAAATTCCCGCTGCCCTCTCCCACCCTGGGGGTGATCTAGTTGTCTTTGATGTTTATATAGAATACATATATTACAGAGAAAGATATATTATTTATCTGTCTGCAGATCCCTCACCCACTCCTCCCCCAAAAATCCAATGCCCATCTTAATCTGGGGAACGGGAGCCAGACCACCAACCAGGCGACCCTCCCTAACCCAGACCCTTCCCCACTCCTTGTGGTACTATCCTTCCTTCTTCATCTCTTTCCTTCCCTAGAGGTGTAGACTAAGGGGGCTGGGAGGGAGCAGGGACCCACACCTCCTTGGGATCAGGGCTCAGAACACAGTCGGGGGAAGGCTCTTTGAAGCCCCAGTCATGAGCACACGGTGGGCCCGTCATGAATGTTAACTTGTCGGTCAGGATGGGGAGAGGCTTTATAATGGAGGCAGGAGGCAGAGGACTGGAGGGATAGAGAGGGTGGGCTGGCTGATCTCTAGAGGGCCTCAAGGGGAAAAGGTAGGGAAGGCTTGCTGGCCCCACAGGCTTGAGAAGGCCCTGTCCGAGGGGCAGCCCTGACTGCACCGACCCCTATCTCCTGGCTCTGCTCCCCTCCTCTCCTCCCCCCAGATCCAATCCCTCCCCTTTCTCCACTACCCTCCTGCATCTGTGATTCCTGGTGGTGCCTGTGCTGTGTGTCTCTATTTTGTCCAGCTTTGTGGTCCTGCTCCTTCCCACCTTGCTACCCCTAATCCTTCAGGGAAAAACTAGGCCATGGATCCTCTCTCTCTTCCCATCCCCTTTAAATAAAAGGTACCAAGCCCATCATGCTTTGCCTTTTCTCTGGGAATCAAGGGAAGGGGGTGGGGAAGGAGGAAGGACTGGTAGGGGGAAAATGCTTTGTCATCACCCAGCTTCTTAGAAAGTTCCACTTCCCCCCTCGAGGGTCCTCGGAATCCCCCCAAACCACCCCTTGCCCCATTCAAAGGCCTTCCAGCTCTCCCAGCTCCCTGCCAAGAAGAGTACCAAGAAGGGAGAGCTCAAGAGCAGCATGCTGACTTCTCAGCTATCTGTCCTGATGGGGAGAGGTCAGGGAGGGGGTTTTGCTCCGACTCTCTTCCTGACTCATCCAATTGCTTTCTTCTTGCTTGGGAGCTTCCTTGGTGCCAGGATGTTCACATCCCCTTCCACTCTTTCCAGGACAAGTGTCTCATTAGAGACAACAGAGCCTCAGGTGTCCATGTGGGGAGGGGATGTCTGTGGTCCCCTAAAAGACTCTAGGGTCAGGCAGACTGGTTTGATTTTGTGCTGACCCCACGAGGGTCACTTTCTCCTTCTGACTCATTGCTCCCACCTGGAATATCTAGATTTTCTTAAATAGTAGGGTCCATAGCCACTGTATGAGCACTCAAGGTACCAAATGCATATTGGATACAGGACAGTTTTCATTTCACTTCATGTAGAATGTATAAGACAAAAAGCACTCACAGGAACTCATGAATAAAGAAACATGTAAAGAACTCAAGTCATAAGGGAGCTGAACCTGCAGAGTGCTGCTGAGGCAACTCTTTGACATTCAGCTGGTTCCTCTTTCTAACAGCCCAATGTCATCTCCCTAAGATTGTGTGGCCAGGTAAACAAACATCCAACTAACCTCCTCGCTCCTGGACCCAAGTGGGATGCTGGGCACGGCTGGCACTTGCCAGACAATCCTCTTCTTTCTCAAAGGAGCACTCCACTTCAGGAAATCCCTTCTTCTACAAGTTTGGACTTGGGAACTCTTGGACTGGAGGCTACCAGGGAACTCCCCTGGAACAAGCTGATGCTGCCCCCAAAATCTCCCCTGTCATGCTAGGAGGCTAGATCCTGGGATTACCATGATGCCTAGGGAGTTAGAAGACACCCCCCCACCTCTCCACGAAGGAGCTGAGGTTCATAACCATTGTCACTGTCTCAGGCCGCAAGCAAGCCCAGGTCTACTCTGCCATGTGCTTCTGCCACAAGTCTCCATCTCTCCCCCATTCTTCCCCCTGAAAGGGGGGGCAGGTTCCTCCTTACCTCCATGAAGGTCCCCAAATATGCTGTGCACTGGCCTGGCATCTCAAAATCTGAGCCCAAGCTGGTCCAGCCACTTGCCTGCATAGCTCTCCTCTGACGAGAGTTTGGCCCTCTGAGTTTCAGTCAGCAATTCCCTGGGTCTCCTTAGAAAGGCACCTGCAATTCAGTCTATATTCCAGGGTGAGGACTCTTAAGCTGGGGTCCGTGAACTTGGGTGGGGAAATAGGCCATCTTTCTTTTCACTAACCTCTGCCTGAAATGGAGCCTCTCCTTCAGTCCCAATTCACACCACTACCACCACCACCAGCACTGCCTTGCTCTGGGAAGGGCTCCAAATGCTGCTTCACCCAATGGCCCAAGGTGTCTTTAAAAGCCTAAGGACTTCAGCTGACTCCAAAGGGCCAAATCCTTTCATCTCCTCAGTGGAGCTCACCCAGCTGAACCCAGGGATGCCTGCCACAACTCTTCTGTGCCTTAAAGCATGGTTTCCGGCATACCTGACTTGTAGTTTCAGAGCATTATCAGCGGGCACTAAGAAAGGTCACACATCAGCTTTATGTGGGACTTGTGCTGGACTTGAACCCAGGTCTGCCTAACTCCAGTATCCTTGAGGTTTGCTCTCCATGTTTGGAGAAGAGGGACCTTCTGTTTTTCCCCTTTTCTCCTTGAGGTATGCTGTGGTGAACAGGTCCTTCCTCCCCTCCCTTCTCATGCCATCCTAGCTACCCCATCTCTCTGCACTTGGGGACAGTGAGAAGCATCCTTTCTGAACTTCTCTGTGCTGGGTGTAGGTGGGTGGGGGCCAGGAATGCTGGGGAGGGGCACCCCGGAGCCTGCATCTGTGGGTGTGTGTGCACAGAATGTGTGTGTGTGGGGGGATCTATATAGGGGATGACTCTGTACACGTGGTGGGCTGCAATCAACATCCTTGTCAGTGGGGTGGGGTTCCCATCACGGGTCCTTCTCCCTCCCACCATTCTACCGACACATGATTCAGGGTTAGGTTGCCAGCTGCGGGTGTGGTGGTCTTTTCTGCCTCCCATCCCCCACCACGGGCTGGGAGTGGGGCCTGGAGCCAAGGCTAAGGGTAGAGCACCCCCACCCCAGTCCACTGTCTAGTTGGAGGGAGCGACTCTCCTCGCGTGAAGGAGCAGTCCCGACTTCCTGATCCCGACTTGGCTTCCCGCCCTGCGGGGCAGGAAGCTGAGTCCCGCCAAGCCAGCGGTCCCTCTGTCGGGCTTGACCCTTTGACGAGTCGGGTAGAGAGAGTTGTCTGGGAGCGAGGGGAAGAAGCCGGAGGGCCTGGACTGTTTGGACAGCTCTGCCCGGGTCAGAGCTGAAGCGCCTGCTGGGACCCTGGAGGGCCGGGGGCAGGGAGCCTTGAGAGGAACCCGCTTCGAACCCTGGCTCCGGGAGAGTGACTATAGTTTGGGGCGGGCCGGGGGAAGGGAGCCAAGCAGCATGGCCAGGGTGGTTCTGGGCCGTCTCTCCGGGTTCCCGCACCGGCCGCCAGGGGGAGCCCCGTGGCTGGCCAGGGATCCCCAGCCGGGATCTCTAGACGGGGTGGGGGGAAGGGGGGAGGGAGAAGCCCACACTCAGCTGCTTGTCTCCTCCCCTCCTCCACCCCGGAGTTAGGCCCCAGCAGAGAGGGGTTGGGTTAGCGCGACAAGCGAGGAGGAAGAGGGGAGGAGAGGACGAGGAGAGGAGAAGCGTGGAGAAGGAGGGAGAAGGAAGGGGAGGAAAAGGGGGGAGAGAAGAGACGGGAGGGAGGAAGGGGGAGGAAGAAGAGAGAGGAGGGAGGAGTCCTGGCGGCCAGGAGGGCGGTGGCGGCGGCGGCTGGGAGGGAGTGGATTGAAGTCCGGGGTGGCCATGTTCGTCAGGGGAACCCGCCGGCGCCGCTCCGGACGCGGGGTAAGGAGCCTCGGGCTTGTCAGGGAAGGAGCTGGCCTCAGCAGATGCGGGGACGTCTGTCCGGGGCTGCCGGCCCCCAGCAGGGTGGCCCGTGGGGAGCGGGAGGCTGGCGCGCCCCGGGGAGGGCAACAGCTGGAGAAGCGGGGAGGAAAGGCAGAATGGAGGGTCAGGTAGGAAACAGGGAGGCTTCCCTTCTTTCTCCCCTCCTCCCTCCGACTCCTTCTGTCTGGGACAAGGAGAAATCCAGGAGGCCAGGTAGGGTGGGGGGTGGGGCTGGGAGAAGGACTGAGGGCTCCTCCTGGCCTGTCTGCCCCCAGCCTCCTGAGTCTGAAGACCCTGGCCTCGGGAGGCCATGCAATAGCTGTGGGGACCAGTGTCCTGGCTTCCTGGTGCATGGCTGGAGGTGAGGGACCCTGGGCTTCTCAGCTGGTCATTTCCTAACTCTAACCATAATGCAGAGAGCAGAGGCCTCTTAAAGATTAGGGGTGGGGAGGGAGTAGCCCCCTGGAGGCTGCTAACCCCCTGTCAGGAGCCTCTCCCCCCTCAGTTTCCCCACCTGTCACATGAAGGGAGGGAGGACTTCATGGGTCCCTCTCAACCAGAGCAGGCAGGCTCAGATCTGGGCAGGGAGTGGAGTGGAAGCGTCTCTCCACACAGGAAGATCTGTCAGCACTGTAAGTGCCCCCGAGAGGCTCACACGGGGAGTGGGGTCCCGGAGGACCTGGAGCAGCTCATGGCCCGCCTCATCTCTGACTTCCAGCGGCATTCCACCTCAGATGAAAGCTCTGGCTGTGCCTCAGAGGAGTATACGTGGGTGCCCCCAGGCCTCAAGCCTGAGCAGGTAACCTCTTGGCCCCCCACCGACAACTCCTCTCTGGACCAGTTTCTTTGGCCTGCTCACAGGGCTTCAGTTTCCCCTCTGTGGAAGCATATGGGGGTGGGGGTGGGCAGCTACACTGGGATTCTGCTGTTTAAAACATTCACTTAAGACAAGCCTGGTGACCTGGGGCCCTTTCGGGAGGCTCACTATCCTGCTATCAGGGAATACATTGGCCAGAGGGAGTGGAAGCCCCCTTCCAGTGCCTTGGACCCAACAACTCCAAGTCTGAGAGGTTGCCAAGCTCTGAAAATGGGGCTCGGAACAGCGCTTTGGTTTGATTTTGGTTTTGGATGTTTGAAAAAGTGATTAGCACAGGCACTGTGGCCATGAGATGCCCCTTCCCACCCCACTCCTTCCAGAATTCTGGCCCCCTGACTTCAGGCCAGGCTCTTTTCCTCTCTAGTTCCCTCCAATGCTGCCAGAGCAGAGGTTTCAGAGTGGAGTGGGTCAGGCAGAGAGTCACTAAGCACCCACATGTTCCAAGCTGCAGAGACTTGAAGCCCAGAGAGGGGCAGGGCCTGACCCAAGGGCCAATTCCATCAGGAATCAGTGGTTGCTCTGGCTTTCCACGCTCACAGGTGTTTGCCCTGAGTCTCAGAGCGAGGTGGTTTAAGGTGGGGTTCAGGTGAGGGGACCATGGAGCTAAATGTGATCCTTTCTTGAGTTGGGGGGGGTCAGAGATTTGCCTATGGTCTGCCTGGATGTGATGGCTTCCCCTTTCCTCTTTAACCCTCAATTGTTCCCAGGTGGATCAGTTTTTCAGCTGCCTGCCAGAGGACAAAGTTCCTTATGTAAACAGCCTTGGGGAAAGGTACCGTGTTCAACAATTGCTTCGACAGTTACCCCCACATGACAGTGAGGTGAGATTCCCCAGCCCCCAGACAAGGGGCAGCCTTCCAAAGCAGGGCTTCATTGAGTCCAAGGGGAGAAACCAGGCGGGACCAGTCAAGAGAAGAGAAGTGGACTTCCCTGAGTTGGGGGCCTAAGGCTAGGCTAGCCTGAGAGGAAGGGGAGGAGGCCCAAGTGAGCCCCACTGCTGCTGAAGCCTGCCAGGCTCTTTGTGAGGGGGCAGGCCAGGGGGAGCTATCCAGAGAAGGAGGATGGTGTTCCAGACAGTGGGGAGCCTTCTCCTCTTCTATGCTGCTGGATTCTTGCGAAGGTAACTGGGGATGGACAACTGAGTCAGCAGCAGTGGTTTACCTCTATGGCTTTTGAGGTGTCCCCCAACTTCACTTCCCAGGCCCAGTATTGTGCAGCACTGGAAGAAGAGGAAGAAAAGGAACTGAGACTCTTTAGCCAAAAGCGGAGACGGGAAAACCTGGGACGGGGGGCTGTCCGAGCATTCCCAGTGTCCATTACCGGGGCCATCTGTGAGCAGGTGAGGAGGTCCCTGGGGCTCTGAGCATTCCCAGGGTCCGTCACCAGCGCCAGGCATGACCAGGTGATGGGGTCCCAGGGGCTGTCCGAGCGTTCCCAGTGTCCATTACCGGGGCCATCTGTGAGCAGGTGAGGAGGTCCCTGGGGCTCTGAGCATTCCCAGGGTCCGTCACCAGCGCCAGGCGTGACCAGGTGATAGGGTCCCAGGGGCTGTCCAAGCGTTCCAGGAGTCCATTATCAGGGCCATCTGTGAGCAGGTCGCTGGGGCTCTGAAGCCCACACCTCTCTCATGCTGCACTTTCCCCATATCCACGCCTCTCCTGAGTTTCCCAGAAAAGAAACTCCAACATCTCCCCGTTGCCTCTTGGATCAGATAGACATGCCTGTTTTGCCTTTTTCAGCCTCATCACAAATTGTAATGCAGCCCAAATGGCCTGCATTCTGTTCTGCTGTTCCTCACTCTGTTTTCCACACCTTTGCCCAGGCCATCCCCTCTGTCTGGAAGGCCCTCACTCTTCACCTCTGCCTCTTCCAGTTCCTGTTGGCCTTCAAGACTCAGCTCAGGCTCCATGTCCTTCCTGGGACCTAGCCTGATCCATTCCCCCAGCTGCTAGGGCCTCCCTTCCCTCCCCAAATAGACTTGGGATTGATTGGGAAGAATTGATCTGTGAAAGTGGTTTTTTTTCCCCCCAGTAGAATAGGTGAACCCCATGAGGGGCCAACATCTCACTTTCCAGTCCCACAGCAGTAGTCCAAGCCCAAAGTAGGTACCTTGTTTCAGTCAGTTGGCCAGCATGAATGAAGCACCTGCTATGTGCCAGGGATGCCAAGAAAGGAAAAAGAGAAGCCCTGCCCTAGAGGAGCTCCTGTGGGCTGATGATCTGATTTATTTGCCAACGGTGCCTTGGTTCTCCCCCTCCTAGTGTGGGAAGCAGATCGGAGGGGGGGATCTGGCCGTCTTCGCCAGCCGGGCTGGCCACGGGACCTGTTGGCATCCCCAGTGCTTCCTCTGTGCCACCTGTGGTGAACTACTTGTTGATCTCATCTACTTCTACCAGTCTGGGAAGATCTACTGTGGGCGTCACCACGCTGAGTGCCTTCGGCCCCGTTGCCAAGCCTGTGATGAAGTATCTGAGGGGACTGACGTGGGGGGTGGGGGTGCACCTTGGCAGAGGGTCAGGGCCCCGCAGACTCCAGGGGGCACAGCCCGCCCACTCTGGGAGGAAGGAAGTTGTTTCGGGCCCTCTCGCCCTTCCGTCCTCCCATTTCCCTGCCTGTCTCCTTGTCCAGATCATCTTCGCGGCAGAGTGCACAGAGGCCGAAGGCCGTCACTGGCACATCCAACACTTTTGCTGCTTTGACTGTGAGGGGCCTCTGGGAGGGCAGCGCTACGTGATGAGGGGGAGCCGGCCTCACTGTGGGGCCTGCTACGAGGCCAGACACACCCAGTACTGCGACAGCTGTGGAGAGCGCATCGGTGAGGCCACTGCCCCGATCCAACCTGAGGAAGGGCAACGAGGGCCTGGCTCTGGGGCTTTCCTGAGCCTCTGCTCACCCCTTCTCATGCTCCATCTAGCTGGGGAGGCTCTATGGACCTGTGTACTCCAGAGCCTATAGGCTGAGCGGGGTTGGGAAGAGGAACAGCTGTGGGGGAGTGGGGGAGGTGACCTTGCTTCTGAGCTTGGCCTTAGGGGAAAATTGGCAAAGTAGGGCTCCCACTTCAGGGAGGAAGGAGCCAGTGTGCCTCTGGCTCCATTTTGCCTCCTTTCTCCATGACTGAGCTCACGTTCTGTCTCCTTTCTCCATGACTGAGCTCACGTTCTGTTCTCTCCCTGGCCAGGAATGGAGCAGGGCCAGATGACGTACGGTGGGCAGCACTGGCACGCATCTGAGACCTGCTTCAGTTGCTGCCGCTGTGGGCGGCCCCTGCTGGGCGAGCCCTTCCTCCCCAGGCAAGGCCAGATCTTCTGCTCTCGAGCCTGTAGCCTCCCTGCTCAAGCAGAGGCCACAGTGGCCACAGCAACCGTGGGGGCAACAGCAGTCACCACCTGCCCTCTGGTTCCCAGCACAACAGCACTCCGGGCCCGCTCCCGGGCAGGCTCCCTGGCAGGCAGAGCATGCAGCCACTTCTGCCGTGAGGCCCCGCAGCGCCACTCCATGCCTGTGTTGGGCCTCCGACGGGTGGTCTCTTCCCCTTGGCAGCCCCCACAGCCAGACCTTAAGCCTATATCTGCCCCTGACCCAGCAGCCTCCTCAGAGGGCCCCGAGTTTTGCCGGCGAGGGGAGCTCCGAGTTAGCTTCCGAGAACCCCTGGTGGCCCAAGCCCCACAGGAGAAGGAGCAGCTCCAGGGCCTTCCTCCTCCCCCTCCACAGGGCCTTGCAGCCCAGCCCAGTCAGAGGAGAAGGCAACAGCCCCAGCGGCTGCCTCACCATCGCCACAGTACCCACTTGGAGTGGGACTCAGCTTGGGTCTCTTCTTCTTCTCTTTCTTCCTCCTCTGACTCAGAGGAGGATGGCTACTTCCTTGGGGAGCCCATTCCTTTGCCCCCAGCCCTGCAGAGAGCCACTCTGGGGCCCCAAGAGAAGGAAGGGACATGGGAGACTTCCCCTGGGCCTCCCAGGCAGGCTCCAAGCCAGGGCCGACACCCGGACAGGGACAGGAACTGCATCGTGGCCTGAGACCTGGCTGGGCTCACACATGCCCCTACGGAGAAGGCCTTGTGCAGACTCATTCTCCCTCTCTCTGCCTCATTGTCCCCAACTGTTGGAGTTGGTTTTGGAGCAGATGCTGGATCAAGTTCTTTGTATCCCTCTTGTGCCATCCTGGGGTCTGCATTCTGGTTGCCCAGCCCTCCCACCCCTTCCACTCCAGTACCTCTAGAATATTCTACTCCATGCCATCCTTTGCAGGCTGGCTCTGCCCATTAAAAGGATTAGTTTCATGTGTTTGAGTTTCCAGGTGGTGTTTTGTTAAGCTGCCCTCTCCCCCTCCCTCTCAGGATCTGCTGCTGCCCACCGATGAAGCTCATGATCCACAGACAAGCCAATTTATTACCCGTTTATTCATCCTCTCCCTGCCCTCTGCCCCAAAACCCTTGGCCTCCTCTCTGGGACAAGTTGGTCCAACTTGGCTGAGGGCTGCAGCTGAGGCTCCCAGGGGCAAAGAGACTGGTTCCTGCAAGCAGGGGCTGAGGGAGATGCACAGACACTTGGGCTGCTCCACTGGTCATCCTCTTCATCCTCCTTTTGTGAGTGAGGGAGCCCATGGTGGCCACATTGGTGCTACGAGGGGCCATCGGGAGACTCTGCAGGGGGGGAAGTATGGGAAAATGAAGAAGAGCCTGAGCTGGCCAGGCCCCTGCACAGTCCTCCCTGGCACTGGCACTCACCAGTGGCAGCTGGGGTGTGGTGGCTCCGCTGGCCTTGGAAAGTGCTATAGGCATCATAGGCAAACAGGATGGTGGCCACCAGGCCCAATACCTAAGGGCCAGGAGGATCAAGGTAAGAAACAAGAGCAACAGGGTGCAGGCCAGCCCTTATCCCAGAGCAGACAAACTGGAGGAGAGTCCTGGGGAAGCTTACCCCTCCAACCATACTCTGAGCATCCACATTTTTGATGATGGTAATGAGTGAGGCAATGAAGAAGAGGACAGATGCGATGAGAGCTCGGAAGAAGTCCTGCGGGGGGGGGGGAGGGCAGTGAGTGAGGACCCCAAGTGGACTCAGCAGGAAAGGGCTTCTGGGACTTCACTACAAGGCCTCAATCCCAAGGGTTGGGCAGGCCATGGGAATTCTCTGGCCCTGGGCTCATCAGGTGACAGTGTGTTGGCCCAGATGAAGCCCTGGCTCGGAAAGGGAGAGGGGACCCACAAACACGGGGTGGATGGGAAAGCCCCAGAAGCCTGTGATCTTCCTGCAACTCAGCCGCACCCCCCCCCCCCCCCCCCCGCCAGCACTCACACTCCAGGGCCAGTTGATGAACTGCAATTGGTGATGTTTGTTCAACATAAAGATGACGAAAAGAAAGCCGGCCAGGACCATCTCCAACACAGGTAGAGTAAGGTAACCCACTACCCCGGAGGCTGAGTAACATATGATGATCAGCAAACACAGCACCTGGCTCAGGGAGAAGGAAGGGGGGGGGGGCGAGGAGAGGACAGGACAACACTGCTCGCTGACCCTCCGGTAGAGGGCGCTGCTTGGTCCAGGCCCGAGACTCTTCTCTCCCGGCCCAGGAACCAGCACCCTTCCCCTTCCTCCTCCCCCCCCCGGATCTTCACGGAGGCCCTCGAGAGTTTTCCAGTCGCATTCAGGGCCTTCAGCTCCGCCGTTCCCGGCGGCGCTTCTCCCTCTTAGCTCCCCCCACACTACTGCCCCAGGACCACAAACAGCCCCAGCCGCAAGAGTGGGGGATGGGAGCGAGGAAATAAGTGAAATAAAAGAGGAAAAGGGGATAAAAGAAGAAACGGTTCAGGCACGGGAGGCTAAGCGACGGGGTTGCTTCCAATTTCCCCAGTTTGAGAAAGAGAGAGGGGAGTTGAGGCAAGGACCGCAGGCACGCACCCCCCCCCTTACCCCCGCTGGCCCAGGAAAATGGAGGGTGGGAAGCCGGAGGGGCACCAGAGGCAGGGCGGCAGGAGCATCCCGGGGGACGTGGTGGGGAGTTGTCCAGGTAAATAAGCGGTGCCCTAGGCCTTCGAGGGCGGGGGAGGGGAAAAAAAAGGAGAAAGAGAACCAAAGCGGAGAAAAATAGGGGAGGGAGGAAGGAGGCCGAGACCGCGAGAAGGGGGAACACACCCTTTTCTGCCTTCCCGCCCCGCCCTACCCCGCCAGCCTCGCCTGGCTCACCTAGCCTTTCCTCCCTCCCTTCCCCCTCTGCGCGGGGGCGCGGGAATAAGTTCTCCCGGTCTCCATTCAACCTCAGTTTCCCCTGGAGTTTCCCCTTTCTTCCCCTTCCCTCCCCACCCTCGGGGAAGTGAGGGGCTGGGTTATAGGGTTAGGGAGAAGACCCAGTGGGAGTGGGAGAGGTCCCACGTTCCTCCGAGGGAGACCCCAGGGCTGCTCCTTCCTCCTCCTCTCCACGTGCTGAGACACACCCTTCTTTCCTAGCCACTAGCGACAGTCCCCAAGTCCCCCTCCCCCACATCCCGGCCAGGCCAGATTTCCAGGTATGCCGACCGGCCCCCGGTCTCTCCTCCCTTCCTCCCCCAGAAGCGCTCACCATCTCGGCCAAGAGGAAAATCCCCTTGCGGGTGCGGGAGAATGCAGTGCAGGCGGCTAAGCATTTGGGAGTCGAGCTATGCTCCGAGTCCGCCATCCTGGGGCCAGAGGGAAAAGAGGTAGGCGCTGCTTCAGAGGCCCTCCTTCCTGGAGGTCCCTGCCTAGGAAGCGCTAGACGCTGCCCCGGAGCTCGAGTTGTACGAGCAATCCCCGACAGCCCTGGGTCCTCCGCCGCCCAGTACGAAGTAGGTGAGGCCGCTGCCCACCCCACCCCACCCTACCCCACCCCACCCCTGCCCAAGCCAGAGCGTGAATCACCACCTCTAGGCGAGAGGGAGGGAGGGAGCGGCGAGGGCGGGGCCGACGCTCCTGTCTCCCTATATGGAGGGGACCCAGAACAAGCGGGGAGGCCCTCCTGACTCAGGGGAGGCGAAACGCACTCCCAAGACAACTCCCAAGGTGGGCGGCTGGGAAAGCAGAATGGCCTGAGCCAGTCCTGGACTGAGGGATGAAGACAGCTGTGTCCTTCCTCACAAGGAGGGGGCCGTCTTCGAGGCCCTTTCTGCCTGGGTGATGGGAGGCTCACTCCCCGATTGGGGCCTGAATGATGAGGGACACAAGGAGTTTACTTTGCCGGGGCCGGATGAGAAGAGAAAACCTAAAAACCTTGTTAGCCACAGCGCCGCCCCCGACGACCACTGAGGCAAGACAAGGGCGAAAGTGCAATAGTCTACCGCGTGTTAGGAGAAAAAAGCACCTAGGCCCTGGCTGCCACATTTACTCCCTCTTCCCCTCCAGACTCTGCAACCTCTTCCCAGCCACACCCCCCTTAGCCCTCCTCGAGTCCTGGTCCTGTTCTGGGCAGGGCTCCCCAAGAAGATACCGAGCGAGCCCTTGGCCACACTCTCCAGGACCGAGACCAACTCCTTTTCTTGTGCCCTTGATGCCCTCCCCTCCCTATCTGTCTGTCTGATCTCTATTTCCAGCCCTGGGCGCCTTCCTCTCCCGAGGCCAGATGAACGTCCCCCACCAGAGTCAGTATATTTCACAAGCATTGCAAATTCAAGGCATCTACAAACCTTCCGGTTTTCTTTCCAAAAACCCAGATCTCTTTGGTGCTTCCCCATTTCTGTTGAGAACACTGCCATCACCCCAGTCACCAAGGTTTGAAATCTCAGAGTCACAAAGTGGGAGAGACCTCAGAGGACTCCTCACCTGACCCACATCCCAAAGGAATCCTCACTAGAAGAAACCTGGCAAACGGTTGGCTTTGCTTTAGGACCTCGAATGAGACCAAGTTGACTGGCAGGCCACTTGGGGATGGCTCCAGTTATCGGGAAGTCTTTCCCGCCATGAAGGAGCCTCAGCCTCCATCTCTGTCCCCAGTTCTGAGTTCTGCTCTCCGAGGGCCAAGCAGAACTAACAGCCTAATCTGTTTTCCACAAGATAGCCCTTCAGATATGGAAACAAGCTTTCCCGTCTTCCCCTGTTCTGCACCCCCCATCCCCCCCCTCAGTGTTTTCTGTTCTCCAGGCTAAACATCCTCTGCTTCTTAAACTGATCCCCATGTGACATAAACTCGAGGCCCTACCCTGCCACACAAGTCCTTCTTAAACTACAGTGCCCGGAAGTGGAGATAATCCTGAAGATGTGGCGCGACCAGGGCGAAATGGAGTTGGCATCCCAATGTGAGCTGGTTCCCAGAGCTTGGAGGCCATTCAGTCACCAAATCTCTATGGGTCCACCACTGTCGATGTCTTCCCCCATCCTTCACTTTATTGTGTTGATTCAGCCCAGAATTCTAACCTAACTCTTTGGGGGGATTCTGACTCTGTACTTCTAGCTTTGTGTCATCTCCAGATCTGCTGAGCATCCAAACGTTTTTGTTCAATTCACCTGATAAAGAAAGGTGAAGCAGCCAAGGGCTCAGCACAGAGCCCTGGGGCACTCCATTGGAGACCCCCCTACCAAGCTGACATTGAACCCTTACAGATTTCTTTTAGGCTCTGGCCAGCCAGCTAGTTCTGAATCCATTTGAAAAGTGTGTTATTGTCTAGTTCATGCCTCTCCATCTCCTCCTTAAGAAAACTCTGAGACACATCACCAAATGTCAGCAAATTCTATCTACAGCATTCCTGACGACACCAGGTCAGTAATCATATGAAAAGGCGGCATTGTACTTAGTCTGGCTTGTTCTATGCTTGAGGAAGCCAGTCTTGTGCTCTGAAATCACCACTTCCCTTTGAAGGTGGATGTCCCCCACTCAACTCATTGGCCTGTGTCTTGCAGCCTGGTTGGCTCTGTTCCTTCCTGGAAGATCAGAATGCTTGCCTTTTCTCTCCAATCTGCTGGTACCTCATCCATTTCCCATTATCTTCCAAATATCAGGGACAGTGGCTCAGCAATTATGTCTGCCACTTCTTCCAAGACCCAAAGATGCCATTCGCACTAACCAGGTGACAAGAGCAACTTGGCATTGTCTTACTGTCTCCTTGGCTTAAGTGACAATAGCTCCCAGTTAGCCATTTCTGTCTGGAAGGTCGTGTTCCTTGGCTGAGAAAAAAAGCAGCTTCAACACATCTAAAACACACATCTGACTGCGTCACTTTCCTAGTCACAATTCCTCTTTCCTCTAGAATCCAAATCAAACTCTTCGGGTTGGCTTTTCCAGCCCTTTCCAACTTACCTGCAATTACCTTTCCACGTCTCTGAGACGTGGGCTTCAATGGGCTGGCATCCCCCCGTTCCTGGCCTACTTTTTCTTCCCCTCTGCTATGCCAATCCCCATTCTCATCAAGGCTTAGCTCAGATGCCGTAGCTTTCCTGCATGAAGCTTCCATGCCTTCCCTGATCTCCCCCAGGGATTACTTCAAATTCGTCTTTGTCTACCCTTAACCCCTGAACCTCTAGTCCTATAGCACTATATTTGTCATCAGACTCTTAACTCCTACCGGAGCTATCGGATCCCTTTTCTCACTGGTGAGTTCCTGTAGGAAACTCCATCCTCATTTGGAGAAAAGGCTCAGACCAATCCTGCCTCCCTTTCTAGACTCTGCTAGTCCCCTCTTGTGCCCTTTTTGTCTCATCTTCGGTTGCTTGTTCCCCACCCCCAGCCCAGCTATTCCACCGAGCTGGGACTTAACACAGAGTAGGAGCTTCAAATATGCTCCCTGACTTTGACTGGTGCACAAGCACATCGTGTCTGTTAGACAAAATTGGGAGACAGTGACAGAAAGGCACATCCCAGCTGGAGGGAAGGCGGAGCTTAAGTTACTGGGCAGCTTGGGAGCCCCCTGTCACTAGACATCTGTTTGTGGAAACTTTAGCTCCAGCTGAAGGCTAGTCGCTGCTCAGGTCCAGGGTGGGCTCCGCATTCCTCACCTCAGACACTTACCAAGCGATCCGGAACAAGTCGCTTCGCCTGTCTGCCACAGTCTCCTCAACTATAAGGTGAGGATCCTAATCGCACTGGTCTGCCAAGGTTATCACAGCCATCAAATGAGATCATATCTGTAAAGTGCTTAGCACAGTGCCTGGCCCTTGGTAGGTAGAAATACTAGCTATTATTATCATCCACAGATTAGCTGAGTCCCAGGAACTCATCAAGGAGGGAAAAATTGGGGCGGGGCTTCCAGGAGCTAGGTCTTGAAAGCTGAGGGAGGGAGGCTGGAGAGCCCTTCCCTGAGGGGTGGGGACAGGAATTGCAGGGTTTTAGGGTTTGTGGTAAAAAAAAAAAATCCAAAAACCCAGTCAGTCCTGAGCAATGAGGCTAGGAGGCAGACAGAGTACTCACTATTGGGCAGGTTCCGTTCCCTTTTGGAATTCATATTGATCCTGGTTTGGGCATTCAGGATGCTGCCTCCCCCCCTCTCCGTGGAATGTGAACCCCTGGAAGGCAGGATCCATCTTTTTTGGTGGCCCAAAAGCAGAGCTGAGTGGAGCACAGGTTCTGCTGGCTGACATACAGGAAGAACTGAATAAATGCTTGGTGGATGGAAGCGATCGAGACTGTCCCAAACTTTTTTACAGAGTTCTGGGGCCCCAGCTGCTTGCCTTGGCCAGCTCTACCCCAGGGAGGTGTTTCCAAGACTGCCACCCAACCCCCTCCAGGCCCTCTCCTTCACATCGCTGTGTGGGTAGCATGTCACCTGGTGGCAGTGCACACTGGTGTTTGCCTGTTGTATGCTCTTCGTACTGGAGGAGGACCGAAATGGCATCACGATGTTGGGGTCAAGGTACAGTGCATTCGGCTGGGGCTGATCAGACCAACACGAGCTCAGGTGGAGCACAGATAGTCCGTGTGAACGTCTGGAATGCGGATAGCTCGAATCGCGCATCTCACTCTTGTTTTGAGTGGCTACAGTTTTGCTTCACTCAGACAGCACAGCACCTTCTTTGATGCAGGCACACCATGCTGGACAGTCTTTTACCAGTGTCTCCCACATCATGAAACCAATTCCAAAATTGTTCAGAGAGACCTTGAGAGTGTCCTTTTATCACTTCTGACTTCCGTGTGAGCGCCTGCCTTGCGTGAATTCTCCGTAAAATTGTCTTTCAGGCAAATGTATGGCATTCGAACAACACGGCCAGCCCATCAGAGTTTCGATCTCTGCAGTAGAGTCTGACTGTTCGGCAGTTCAGCTCAAGAAAGGACCTTGGTGTCTGATACTTTATCTTGCCAGGTGATCTTCAGAATCTTTCTGAGACTATTCGAGTGAAAGCAGCTCAGCTGCTTCTCTGTGATCCCACAGAGAATCTTAGGAAAATAATATTCTAAACTGTTGTTGCCCTTACTGACATCTCCCACCGCGCCAAGATAATCTCATTCAGTGGCTGATATGGTTTCTAGGCTCTTGGCCTTCTTGTTGGGGAAATTACTGAATGCCAGTTCAGCATCTAGAGAGGAAGTGGAAATTCTGCCTTTCAGTGTCTGTGCCTTTAATCCATTTCTGTATTTTTGATTCTTTAGGTTAAATGGGAGCTCTTTAAATATCAGCCACCCTTTCTTTCTTGTTCTTCTCATTTGGTGTTAATACTGATCTTCATTCTCATTATTTAACGGTGTGACTGTATACAGACAACTGATTCTGAAATTCAATTCAAATATTTTAGTAAATGCCTAATTTGTGCCAAGCAGTGCTAGGCACTGGGTTTACAAAGACTGGAAAGAAAAAACAAACCCAAGCAAAACCAAAAAACCCTAGACCTTGCCCTCCAGGAGCTTACCTTCTTCTGGTGGTAGCTTATGATAAAATTATATACAAAGTAATTTCAAGAGGGAGAAAAAAAATAACAACTGAGGAGATAAAGAAACATAGCTTCTACCAGAACTGCCTTTAAGGAAATTTGAGATTTCAAAGGGCATGTACTCCAACGTACACAAAGACTTGGAAGTGGGAGGTGGGAATATTCTGTGTCCAGGGAGCGGTTAACTGGCAGGCCAGTTTGACTAGACTAGAGAATGCATGGATGGGACAAAGAGGAAGGACTCCACTAGTATAGGTGAACTGATAATTAATTTATGAAATTGTGAAATTAGGGGCAGGAACTCCTGGTTCTTTGGCTACTCTCTGGGAAAGACCATGGGGAAACAGGGGAGTAAACAGAGGGCATGGGGGCAAAAATCCCAGAAAAGCAGAGACAAGCAGTAAAAAGTGGTGCAGAGGCAGGTAGCGGAGGGGAAGGCACCAGCTGGGAGGCCCTAACGGGAGGGGAAGAGAATCCTGCAGAAGATGGGATATGAGCTGAGTCTTGAAAGAAGCCAAGGAAGTGAGGTGGAGATGAGGGACAGAGCTCACCAGGAGTCGAGGATTGCCAGTGCCAAGGCAAAGGTGCAGAGGTGAGAGAGGAAGGGGCATGTTCCAGGGAGTGCAGGGGCACTAGTTCTAGTCTAGATCAGGGAAGTGGGGGAAGGGGCAAGAATACTAGAAATTGGCAAATCAGTGCCGAACGGTGAACTTCACGAGCCACTGGGAGTCATCAGGCAGAAGAGTGACATGGTGGCCCTGGACTTTATTAAGATTGCTTCGACAAGTAAGGGATGGACAGGGTGGGGTGAGGCTTGAGGCAGGGAGACTAGCCAGAAGGCTATTACAATAGTCTAGAGGGGAGGGAATGGGCAGCTAGGTGGTGCTGCAGTGGACAGAGCTCTGGACCTGGAGTCAGGAAGATTTCCTGAGTTCAAATCCAGCCTCAGACACTTGCTAGCTGTGTGACCCTGGGCAAGTCACTTCACCCTATTTGCCTCAGTTTCTTCATCTGTAAAATGAGCTGGAGAAGGAAATGGCAAACCACTCCAGTATCTCTGCCAAGAAAACCCCAAATGGGGTCATGGGAGAGTCAGACATGACTGAAAAAATAACTGAACAACAAAAGAGGGGAGGGAATAAACATTCATTAAATGTCTCCTATGTGCCAGGCACTGTGCTGAGTGCTTTTACAAATATTACCTCATGGGGCAGCTAGGTGGTGAAGTGGATAGAGCACCAGCCCTGGATTCAGGAGGACCTGAGTTCAAATCCGGTATCAGACACATAACATTTACTAGCTGCATGACCCTGGGCAAGTCACTTAACCCCATTGCCTAGCCAAAAACACACACACACCAAATATTACCTCATTTGATCCTTGCAACAACCCTGGGAAGTTGAGGGCAAGAGGGCCAGAACTAAGGTTGTGGCTATATGAGTGGAGAAAGCGGGGACATGTAGAAGAGATGTTGGGAAAGTAAAGATGACAAATTTTGGCAACTGACTGGATACATGGGGTGAGTGCCAGACTGGGAGCCTGTGAGGATGGTGGCGCCCTCGACAGTAATAGGAACATATGGGAGAGGTTGGGGAAAAGATAATGAGCCCTATTTTGAACATGTTGAGTTTGAGGACATCTAGGTCAATTCATCTAATAAGCATTTGGAGTTGTGAGACTGTAGGGTTGGATCAGCACATGTGGGAATCACTTCCTAGAGATGATAATTGAAGCCACAAGAGCGGATGAGACCCGTGAGTGACATAGTATAAAGGGAGAAGAGAAGAGGGCTCAGGAAGGACCCTGATATCAAGGACGTAGCACTCAACACCTATATCAAAGGCAACAGAGAGGTCAAGGAGAAGCTGATTGGGAAAACGGTTAAGGATAGCACTTGGCGACTAACTAACAGATCCTTGATAACTGTGGGGAGAGCAGTTTCAGTTGAATGATGAGGTTGGAAGCCAAACTGCAGAGATTTAAGAAATGAAAGCAAGAGGAAGTACAAGTAGCAAGTGTCGATGGTTTTCTCAAGAAGTTTAGCCTAGAAGGGGAAAGCTAGAAGATGAGAGCCAGCAGGTATGGTTAGATCAAGTGAGGAGTTTTTTGTTTTGTTTTGTTACGGAGGTGACCTAGGTATGTTTATATGCAGTAGGGAAGAAATGAGTAGATAAGGAGAAATTGAAGCTTAGAGAGTAGATATGATAATGGGGGCAAGGGGATGAGACAAGGATGAAACCAAGGATGCCCATTAGAGGGGTTTGCCTTGGAAAGGAGGGCTACCTCCTTGGGAAAGACAGTCAAGAGACGTGTAGCCCCTACCATGTGCCAGGCACTGTCCTAAGGGCTAGGGATACAAAGAAAGCTAAAAGACAGTGTTTGCTGTCAAGGGGCCCACAGTCTTATGGGGGAGACGACATGCAAACAACTATATATAAACATGCAAATAGGGTAACTTGAGGATCCTTAACAGAGGGAAGACACTAGAATTAAGGAAAATCAGGAAGAACTTCCTAGAAAAGGTGGGATTTGAGCCAGGACCTGAAGGCAGCCAGGGAAGCCAGGAGGTGGGAGATGAGGAGGGTGACAGCCTTACAAAGCTGCCCAGAGTGTTTTGTACAAGAACAGTCAGGAGGCAGGAGTTACTGCATGGCACAGTATGTGGGGGATAGGGGTGGGAATAAGTTCTAAGCCCAGAAAGGCACTTGGGAGGAGGGGAGGTGGCACTAGGTCATGAAGGGCATTGAAAGTGCCAACAGCATTTTGTATTTGATCCTGGAGGTGCCACTAGGATTTATGAAGTAGCAGCTAGAGTTTGGAGTGATATGAGATGAGGAGGGGAGAAGAGGGAGCTCCTGGTGAATGCTTTCAATTTTTTTCAGGGAAATATGAATGAGGTCCTCAGCTGAGGGGGAGCCATGAGAGGCCTGAGGAAGGAAGAAAAAGTTGGGAAGAGCTACGGTAGTAAATGGGAGAGCAAACTGATTGTTCAGTTCCAGCCCTGGTTGACTCTCTGTGACGGCAGAGATAATGGAGTGATTTGTCATTTCCTTCTCCAGCTCATTTTACAGGTGAGGAAACTGAGGCCAGAAGGGTGAAGTGACTTGCCCAGGATCACACAGCTAGGAAGCATCTGAAGCTGGATTTGAACTCAGGTCTTCCTGACTCCATGCCTGGCACTTTATCCACTTCAACACCTAGCTGCCCCTAGCAAATCAATCAGGGGGTATAAATGGATTGCCTTGCTTCAGTGAGGGCCCAGTGAAGATTTTAAGAAAAGCTTATTTGTGGTGGACCCATTCAACCTGGATCTGTGACTTTATCCAGAACCGTGTGAGTAGGAGCCAATGTGGTGGAAGGTGGGAGTAATCCAGCTTTGGGGCTTGGCAGGACACAGCTGTCAATAAAACAAGGGGGCTAGAGATTTGAACATGGAGGATGGTGTTGAGTTGAACTGGTTCATCAAGTGGGTGAGATAAGGCAGTCTAGCCTGTGTGGAAGGCCCGGGAAAGAGCTGAGGGCATAAGGATGAAGATCAGGCTGCGTGTCATAAGGCCGAAGCAAAGGTGGCATCAGAGATTATGGTCGGAATGAGAGATGGGAGAAATGGAGTTCTGGAGTTCCTCAGTGTGGAGGAGGGACAGTCATGGGCCAGCTTGGAAGGTAGCTCAGATGGGTGGAGGACGAGCTCACATTTAACTCATGTCTTTTTCTTTTTTTTTTTTTTGGTAAGGCAATTGGGGTTAAGTGACTTGCCCAGGGTCACTCAGCTAGTAAGTGTCAAATGTTTGGTCTGAGGCAGGATTTGAATTCAGGTCCTCCTGACTTCAGGGCCAGTGCTCTATCCACTGTGCCACCTAGCTGCCCCAACTCATGTCTAATCTTAAAGAGGGCTGGAGGCATTTCTCTCCAGGGACTTTCTGGACCTACCATCTTAAGTCCCTCCTACAGTTTTAAGGGCCTCAGTTTCCCCTGTGGTTCCAAGTCTCCCTCTATGAAATGGCCCCGGGTGGGGGGCAGGGGAAGGGGAACCTTGAAGAAGCTCATCTGTAAGCACCTTTCTGGCTCTTGAAGATCCGAAGTCCAAATAGTGCCAGGCTTGATCTTGAAAGGGGCAGGGAAAAGGAAAGTTTTGGGGAGGCTGGAGACAATCAGGGAGGCAGAGGCCAGTACCATTCACCTGTTTATTATAGAAACCCCTAGTGTTCCAGTGTTGACGCCAGCCGCCAGAGGCTGGGGGGGGGGTGTCCACCCCAGGGGGCCATTTGTACTCCCCCCTCCAAAAAAAGAAAGCATCTCCTTCCATCTCCTGGGGAGCAGGGCCATCCAGACAGACAACACAACAGTGAGACAGGAGAAAGGGGCAATGAGTCTTCGTGTGGCTCGGAGAGGCCGAGAGGCCCCTCCACACCGTTCATCTTCAGGAGATGAGGCACAGGAGGGTCTCGCCTCATTGCTGCCACCACTGGAACATAGAGTCTTTACTCTGGGGTGGGGGGCTCCTGATGGGGGACAGGGTGGCTGCTTCTCCCCAGCTAATGAGCTTCCCCACCTCCCCCCTGCCCAGTATCTTCACAGCCAATAAGCAGGGGACTCCTGATGGCTGCTGAGCCTTCTGCCCGACACCCAAGAGGAACAGATATGAAGACTGGAAGACTGAGCACAGCTCGCCTTGGAGAGAAATCCTCCGTTTCCAGAGGCGCACACTACCCCCGTTCCCCCACACCTAGGTGGCTGAGCCTGGCACTTGCTTCCATCTGGAGGCCTGATGTCAACGACAGCAGACAGGGCAATGGGTTAGATGCCACACTGGCATCCAGCCCACGCCCCCTCCCCAGAAGCCCCATGCCCCCTCCTCATGTGGGCAGAGGGAGGGGGAGGTCAGAGCACATCAGCATCCACGTAGTTGGGGGCTCTCTTGCTTCCTCATAGCAGGCAGAAAAGAGAGGGAGGGGCCCTGCGCCGTACTTAGGCCGCTTCCCAACTCACAGCAGATGAGAAATGGGTGCGTAGCAGGGGCTTGGGAGGGATGGTGTTTAGGAAGCAAAGGGCTGGGTAAGAGGGCAGAGGGTGTCAAAGCAGCATCCCTGGGGGGCCGTGCAGGGGAAGGTTCACAAAGACATGATGCTAGCATCCTGAGGGTCCATTAGGAATCCAGACTAGCATCCCCAGGGGGAGCTGGGATTACTGGGATGTCAGACCAGTCTCTCCAGGGTGAGGAGGGTCAGACCAACGTCCCTGGGGTTCGAGGATCTGAGTCCAGGGGCCGATCCCCTTCCAATGCCAGGTCACTTAAGTGGGAGCTCAGCTCTGGGGGGTACAGGAAGTCTGTATAGTGTCTTAGGGTGGGGGGAGGGCAAGGGAGAGGAGTAGAAAGACAAGAGAAACAGGGACAGACAGAGCCAGAGACAGAGAGAGAAGAGAGTAACATTAGAGAAAACAAGAAAGACAGCAGAGCAGAGAACAGGGTCCACTGGGCTCTCCCTCGTTCCCACCTCCTCATGCCCCGGCGTGCCAAGTCCCCCACCCTCCCCCAGGGCACCCTCACTCAGTACCTGCCAGAGACAGGAGGTGCTGTGAAGCTGAGGGAGTGAGGTAGGGCTGTCGCTGCCGCCGCCGCTGCTGAGGGCAGGGCCACTCCAGCATAGCCCAAGTATGGCTCAGGGCTAGCCTCAGTGCCATGGGCAGTGTGCAGCAGGAGGCCTTGGGGGGTAGCTAGAGTGAGGCCAGGAGAATGGAGAAGGATGCAGGGCCTGGCCCTCTGGAAGGAGGCCCCGGGCCGAGGGGTGAAGGCCCGCCACAGCACCCCCTCCTGTTGAGCCCACGTTTCGAATGTACCAGTCTCGGAGGCCCTCTAGGGCCAGAGCCTTGTGCCCACTCCGGGGGTCAGCACCTGACTGCTCTGGCTGGCTGTGGTAACGGGTTGGCCCAGGGCCTGCCCAGAAGGAACCAGGCAGCGGGCCCCCATCATCAGACTTAGCGCGACTGGTCAGCCCACGCCCAGGGCCTCCGTGAGGTGCTGCTGGGTCCTTGGCTTGAAGGAGGGGGCTGCCAATGCCACCTCCACTATCCCCTTGAAGTGCTGAGGGAGCTGGGGGAAAGAAGACAAAGAGACCGTCCCTGCAGGAAAGGTGGCCTGGGCCCTCAGGCCAGCACTGTCCACCCCGGGTCAAGTAGTAATCAAGTAGCAGGTCACCAGAGGCTGGCAGGGGCCGCCCCCGTGGAGCAGCCCGGGGAGGGTCCGGAGGCCCAGCTGTTCGAGAAGAGAAGGCTGGGGGGGGCACTGGGGCTGGTCGCTCAAAAATACTCTCATTGCTTTTGCAGGGCGGGGACACTGGTGGGCCTTCTGGGGGCAGGCGGGCACAGGCAAAGCCGGAGATCCCAGCACCTCGGTCGACCAACAGGGCCTCAGAACTGTTGCTCCGGCGGGTTCGGCCAGAGACGAGGAAGGCGCGCTCCCAAGGCCCATCTGTGTGTGGGAAGCCCATCTGAGAGTCCTGGCTGCCAGACCATTGGCGGGAGTGAAGGCCCTCCAGCCTGGGACGGGAGAGAGGGGCAATGCAGTGAGGTCACGAGGCCAATCAGAAAGAACCGGGGAGCCACCTGCCAGCCCTGCCTTCAGCTCAAAGCCTGAGCGGGTGCCTTCTCTCTCTGGAGCCTCAGTGTCCCCCTCTATAAAAGGAAGGGTTCTGACTGGACAGTAAGCAAGCCCCATTCAATGCTGCCTTGTTACAGGTTGACTAGCACCTTGCTGTGCTCAGAGGTTTGCATCCGTGGCAACCCTGTTCTACAGCAGGTGAGGGAATTAGAACAGTAAGTGGTGCCATCGCCTGTCTAGCTGCCTGTCAAAGAAGTCTGTGCAGCCCTGCTGGGAACAATCTTGTTTCTAAATGCATAAAACCTGAACCCAATCCTGTCGAAGATGTCCTTTGCTCCCATCCAAGTTCATAGACCCCTGACCCTTCCCCCCCCCCAATCTATCCACAGACCCTCAGTTCTAAACCGTGTCACTAAGATTGGAAAGTCTGGCCTTCCTTTCTCTCCCCCTTGCCTTGGTGGGCCTTACCTACAGAGCTGGGGCGCAGGGCCCCGGGCCAGGACAGGTGTGGCAGGAACGCTTCTGCCCTCAAAGCTTGATATACTTCTGGGAAGGGTCCTGGTGGGGCTGTCAGTGGGGAAGAAGCAATGATCAGTGGTTTCCAGTCCCCTGGGGAGGGGCTTCACACCTGCTTTCTGAAGGACCCTCCCCTTTGAACTGTGGTCACCTGGTGGGGCTGGCCACAGAGTTCCTCCGGCTCTTCAGGTCTCCATAGAGCTCAGCAGCTGGCAGAGGGGGCATTGCCTTCCATGGCGGGCGACGCTCAGGGCTGCCTCCCGCTGACACTGAAGCTCGCAACTGGTCCCGGGCCTTTGGGAGTGCGGGCCGCTCACTGTGGGGATCCTCTGAGGGCAAGGGGAGACAAAGAGGGGACATTTTGGTGGGGCAGGTGGGTTCTGGCTTTCTGCTCCTCCCGGGCATTCTCCACGGATCACACTCACCATTCTCGTGGCTCATCGACTCTGAGAGAGAGCTGCTCTCTGAGCGGGAGGCATCATCTAGGAGAAGAAAGCAGGGGCCGGTCTTTGGAGTCACCAGTCCCCTAGACCCACACTGCCTGTGCCTCGGCCCCTCTTCTGTTGGCTACTGTTGAGCTGCTCTCTCTTCTATCTCCACTGGTTAGTTCCAGTAGAAGTATGTCACTCACCTTGGCTAAGCTGAGCTACCCGGGTTCGGAGGCCAGGAAGTCCAGGACCACCATGGCCTGGCGGCATGGTAAGCGGCAGGCCCAGAAGAGCCCGGCTGGCCCTCAGCTGCTCCTCTAGTTCAAGGAGTCTCTGTGATGCATCTGCCTGGACCTGCCGCCGCCGCCGCCGCTGCTCCACACTCAGCTCTGGGGCTAGCGCAAGGCGTCTGGCGGCTGCAGCAATCTGCCTCTGAACCGATACCTCTCTCTCAAGCGTTTCCAGTGCTAGTGCCTGCACCATGGAAAGGACCACAGAGGCAGGGAAATGAAAAGGGGAGGGTGGAGCCTCGGGCTCTAGATCTCACCCCCAAGCAGCCCCTGCTGGCCCTCCATAGTTCTACCCCCCAACGCCTTTGAGGCCCGGTTCCTTTTGCACTGCCCCTTCCTGAGGAGCTTCAGACACTTACCCCAGAGGTGCAGACTCCTCGGGGTTGCAGGGGCATAGGGGCAGCCCTGCGCCGGATGGGATGAGGCTGCTCCCCAGGCTCCAGGGGGTATTCAACAGGAAGGCGGCCTGTCAGCTCCTGGAGTGGGGGAAGGAGGTTATCATGGGGCTCCCCTCCTGGCCCACCCTCCATCCCAAGTACTAGGGTCCCTTCACCTACCGCCTCCTGTAGGCAGACCCTTCGGAGTTCTCGAAGCTTTAGACTTAGGGTTTCCTGTAGGCCCCGCTGCCGTTCCAGCAGGGCCCGAAGTCTCTCCACCTTAACTGGGGGGCTCTCTTCCAGGGGCAGTCCTGTTCAGTGGGACGGAAAACAGGCTGGAGTCCATCTGCTCTCACATCTGACCTCCCACCCAGAGTTAGCCAATATTCTAAACCGTGCCCTAGGTAGTCAGCCTAGCCCTGCCACCCAAGGGCTTTCTCCCCCCAACCCACATCCCTGGGGCTTGTACCTGGACAGTTGTAGCTTGGGGAGCTGATGAGTTGTCCTCTGAGCTCCATCCTAAGGCAGGTGAGAGGAGGCAGAGATGTCTTGCTGGACAGGACCTGGGTGAGAAGCTCTTGCTGTCAGGGACCCAGCTGTTCTCCCCACTCAACCAGCCCTCAGACCCTTGGATTGTGATTTTAGCCTTCTGACTCCTACTTTGGGGTTAGGTTGTGGTTTGGGGGGGGCAGGCAGCCTTAAAGTTCTCTATCCCACAGGATGCAAAAAGCTCCCCTCACCCTTTGCTGGCACAGACCTCCTCTTGGGTGGTCCAGAAGGGGTACAGGGGGAGGAAAGCAAGGTGGCACCTGGCAGCTTGTCTTGTCTTTCTCCCTCGGCCCTCCAAATGCCCTACTGCCTTAGCTCTTCCTTAGGTCCTAGTCAGGAATGAGTCAGGAAGCAGAGAAGCAAAGTCCAGAAGAGACAGATAAACAAGGGCTCAGCCCTGAGTAGGAGGTGGGGAGCTCCTCCTCTTCCCCACTTGGCATTTCCCCCCCCAAACTCTCCAACTTGGGTGGGGGAGGCCAAATGAGGACTTCAGAAGGGCCCCGGCTTCCAGCTGCTGCCAACCCACAGCAAAAGCATCCCACGAGGGGCAGGGCCAGCCGTGGTTTCTGGGGGCACCTCCCCAAGCTGAGGTGGCTCTGCAGGGGAAGGACCTGGCCTGCCACTGCTACGATCTTTCCCCTCCTCCGTAAGCAGCCCAAGCTCTCAGCTGGCTCCTCTATCTATAGTTCCCTAAGTCCTCAGCTGCCAAGATGTGACCCTAAGCCCTTGTCCCCCAAGATCTTGGCTCAAATGGCCCCCTGAAGGCCCAACCCTCTAAGAGCCGGACCACTCTGGGCTCACATGGCTCTGACCTAAGGAATACATCCCCAAGCAGCTTTCAGGACAGCCAGACTAGCTCCTGGGGGCAGGCAAGTGGGTAGAGAAGCTCCTGAGGTGGGGGGCAGCTGAGTTTTTCTGTACATCTGCTGCTGCTTCTGGGGAAGAGGCCAGGTTCTCTCTGGGAGTACCCTCCCTACTCTTAAGTGAAAGATCTCAAAGCACCTGGGAAAAAAAGCTTGCCCTTCCCTGCATCCTGGTGGCCCAGCACCCTCCCCCAGTCCCCCTCACTTCCCTTCCTCACCACTTGTGGGGTTCCCTTCCTAGGTCTGGGCCGAGGCAGGCCAGTGAGAAGCAGCACAGGGAGGTTTTTGCCAGGAGCCTAGGCCCAGCCTGCTAACCTGCTAGTCAGCTAGCTAGCTAGCGCTGGGGGGTGGAGGTGGAGGAGGAGGAAGAAGAGGAGGAGGAGGAGGAGGAGGAGGAGGAGGAGGAGGAGGAGGAGGAGGGAGCCTCCACCTTTTAACCCTTTGCCTGGTGGCCCAGGAGGCTCTGAGGAGGTGGGGAGGGGAAAAGGTAAGGCTGAGGGCAGGGCTCCAAGGAGCTGGAGGCCCCCCTTCCACCCCCACTGCAGGCAGAAATAGCGACCCCCCCCAGGTTGGGAATGGAATATCCTTCTTCCTTTACCTCCCCAACCTTCCCCAGCTTCAGGCATGGTGCTCTAGAATGCAAGGGGGGGCAGGGGGAGGCTGGGCCCTGAATTCCTGGAATTCCTGGTCCTAACCCTGTCCCACAGGTTTGGGAGACTAGACCCAAGGCCCGAAAGGAGAAAATGCTGGGGGGGCGGGGCTGACCTTATCATTCCTCCATGTTTTCGCTTTCTCTTTTCCTCAGGCCTAGGGTTTGGGAAGACATAGAGGAAACTGATGCTGGCGGGGAGGGGGCGATCTGGGAAAGGAGGGCGCGTCCACTTCCTGCCAGCTGGTTTGCCCCCCCACCCCCAGCACCCAGAGATGAGATAACCGACCTGTCCTGTCCTGTCAGGGACAACCGGGTGGAGGCAGGTGGGGGATCGGAGTTCCGGGATCCAGTCCCGGAGCCGCCCCCCCCCCCACGGCGGGGAGGGGCGGGGCGGGGAGAAGAGGAGCAGGGAGGGGGAGGCGGCCCATCCCCGCGCTCACCCTCCGCTCCCCTCACGCAGCACTGCCCAACCGAACCACCCCCGCCCCGGGACGGAGGACGGGGGCGGGGGGGGGCAGCCCTGGGGGGCGGGGGCCGGGCCTGGGGAGGGGCGTCAGGCTGCTCCCTCCCTCTCCCCCCACCCCGCTCCCCCGCCTCGCACTCACCGCCGCTGGGGGCCGTGTCCGAGGGGGAAGGCCACGAGCTGGAGGGAGCGAAGGAGGCGGGGGGCAGGCTGGAGGGGGCCCCTCGGGTTCGTCCCTCTGCCGCGCGCCCCCGGCCGCCCGCGCCCCCGCGCGGCTCGCTCCGCCGCCTGCCTCCGGCCCGGGTGCGCGCGGCCGCCCCGGCGCGTCCCCGAGCGCACGTGCGCGGCGGCGGCCCGGGGAGGACGGGCGCGCGCGGGCTGCTCTGGGCCCCGCCCCTGGCCTCCCCTGCGAACCAGGACTGGGTGGAGGCGGGAACTCCATCAGTCCATCCCTCCATCCACTCTTCCGTCTGACCCACTAACCTCAGTCAGCCTGGAAGTCCCCAGCCTCTTCCTCCCAGCTCCACCTGTCTCTGTCTCCTGCTGCCTTCTATCTCACCTGACCCCTGACCCCGGCCCGAAGCAGCAGCCTAGGCCAGGCCGTCACTGGGGAGACTGAGACTACAGTCGGAGAGAAGGGAAAAAGTGCCCAGGAGTGGGAGCTTCAGGGCCCCCAGCCCAGGCCTAGCTGTGACCTACATCTGGGCCTCAAGGGAACAGAACGCAGGCAGCCTGACTTCAAGGTCATTTGGTGAGCGCAAGCCTGTCTGACCCTGCCGCTATGAGGCCCTCCCAAGGGCCAGGCAGCTATGCCAGCTCCCTCCCACGCTTACCACGCAGGCTTGGCTTTGTCACCTCCTCTTCGGCTCAGCCAGCTCAAGCAGCTCAGAGCCTTTCAGGAGCCCCTCCCTCAAACTACCGAGGAGCCCTTGTGTGGCTTTTGTACGTTGGCACTGTCATTTAGTGCTTTTCAGTTTACACTTTTTAGTGACTCTTCATGACCCCATTTTCTTGGCCAGAGATCCTGGAGTGGTTCGCCATTTCCTTCTCCAGCTCATTTTACAGATGAGGAAGCTGAGGCAAACTGAGGGTGAAGTGACTTGCCCAGGGTCACCCAGCTAACAAGTGTCTGAGGGCAGAGTGGAACCCAGGAAGGTGAGTCTTTCTGGCTCTAGGCCCAGAGTTCTACTCACTGGGCCACCTTGCTGCTCCTTGGAATTAGGATTAGGATTTGGGCGATAACCTAATGTGTGTGGTAGGGACGTGATTTGTAGAGGGTATAGTGAAACACCCTCTCTGGCCTCACTCTTCCCACTCCCATTAGCCAATCAAGCCAATGTTCCTTTCTTGACTCGCTCAAAGAAGTCCACATCACATAAAACACAACAGCCCAGGCTGGACCACTACATTTTTACATTTACGTGTCTTCACACCTTTAGCCTGATCACATCATTCATGTCCATGGGGGCAGATGTATGGAGCACCCCCTTCCATAAGGCAAAAATATCTAGCAGGTGTGGAGATGATGGAAATCCCCCATGATGATTGCAGCAGGCTGGGATTGGGTTTCTTCCTCCCTCTTTCTCTTTTTTCTTTGGGTGCTATAGTACATGCTTCAATTACAACCTGACTCCTGGGGCTGTCTCTAAGGCTTTTTCCCCAAGTGCTCTCCTCCATATCTCCCTCCTCTCATTTCTCCCAGAGTTCTCCGTTATAACCAAATCTGTGCTCTCATTGGTACTGGCAGCTTCTTTCACCAATGCATTGCCTAGGTCACCTGGCCAGGCTGCATCAGGCACAACTTAAAAGTGGGGGCCCTTGACCCTCCCAGGCTGGTTCACTCCCCTTATGGGAATGTCTTGTTACCCATACTTCATGCATTTCCACACTGACCACCAACACCACTCATTGCATTACGCATTCCTTGGCTTTTGTGCACTGTCTAGAAATTTCTGGGTGTCTCACTGTTCTTCTTTTTGCATCATGGAGACTCCCTATGGGGGATATACAGGGGCAGGCTACTTCCTTCTCAGTCATTTTCCATTTAAAGCCTGTTTGATTAGATGTGTAAGCCTCCAGGCAAGTCCATTTTGAGCAGTCCTCCGCACTTCTTCACCAGCTTCCCAAATCTCCTGTTCTCTCTTGAATCCCTTGCCTTCAATGGCAGTAGTGATCCAAATACATCCCGACATCCCTAAGGTATTCATCTTCTTCCCTCAGACTGTGCAATCTTTACCAATTTTGTGTTGGTTTCTTTAGGTGATATCTTGTGCGCCCAAGAAAACCACGTGAGATAGGTAGTAATCATCTACTTTTGACAAGTCTTCAGAGACCATGTGTTGTCATCTATGCCCAGGAAAGACAACAGCCCCCCCCCCCACATCGGTGTGAGGTCTGCAAATGAATACCCTTAAACAATTGTGACCAGCCCATCATCTTTGGACCCTGACACTGGATCAGCTCTCCCCTGACAGAGGCAAGCTCTGGGGAGCTCAGCTACGTGGTTCCTTGGGGGAATCAGCAGCTGCTTCCTTCCTTTTGGGGAAGAGGCCCATGTCTGGTCCTTAACTCCAGGTTCCCAGTGGCTTTTGCTCCCTCCCTCCTCTGTGTGATATTATTCTACCCTGCGGGCTTCGTACAGAACCCAGCTTCCCCCATACCAACCTCTATGTAGCCTCTGTCTTCTTAAAACCTTTCCTGGGATTTCTTAAAGAAGCACTTCCCAGGTGGCCTAGCCATTCTAGATCTTAAATTGTATTATAAAGCAGAAGTCATCAAAACAGCTTGGTACTGGCTAAGAAATAGGGAGGAGGATCAGTGGAATAGGTTAAAGATGCAAGACACAGTAGTCAATGGCTATAGTAATCTATTATTTGATAAACCCAAAGACCCCAGCTTCTGGGATAAGAACCCACTCTTTGAAAAAAAACTGCTGGGAAAACTGGAAAAGAGTATGGCAGAAACTAGGCATAGACCCAAATCTCACACCATATACCAAAATAAAGTCAAAATGGGTTCAGGACTTAGATATAAAGGCTGATGCCATAAGTAAACTGGGAGAACAAGGAATAGTTTACCTATCAGATCTATGGAGAACAGGAGAATTCATGACCAAACAGGAGATAGAGAACATTATGAAAAGCAAAATGGATCATTTTGATTACATTAAATTGAAAAGTTTTTGCACAAACAAAGCCAATGCAACTAAGATTAGAAGGAAGGTAGAAAATTGGGAAAGAATTTTTACAACCAGTCTTTCTGATAAAGGCCTCATTTCTAAAATATATAGAGAATTAAGACAAATTTATAAGAACACAAGCCATTCCCCAATTGATAAATGGTCAAAGGATATGAACAGGCAGTTCTCAGATGAAGAAATTAAAGCCATCTATAGTCATATGAAAAAATGCTCTAAATCATTATTGATTAGAGAAATGCAAATCAAAACAACTCTGAGGTACCACATCACACCTATCAGATTGGCCAACATGACAAAACAGGAAAATGATAAATGTTGGAGAGGATGTGGGAAAATTGGAACACTAATACATTGCTGGTGGAGTTGTGAAATGATCCAACCATTTTGGAGAACAATTTGGAACTATGCCCAAAGGGCTACAAAAATGTGCATACCCTTTGATACAGCAATAGATGGGAAAAGGACCCACATGCACAAAAATATTCATAGCAGCTCTTTTTGTGGTGGCAAAGAATTGGAAATTGAGAGGATGCCCATCAGTTGGGGAATGGCTGAGCAAGTTGTGGTATATGAATGTAATGGAATACTATTGTGCTATAAGAAATGATGAACAGGTTTACTTCAGAAAAACCTGGGAAGACCTGTATGGTCTGATGCTGAGTGAAGTGAGCAGAACCAAGAGGACTTTGTACACAGTAACAGCCACATTGTGCAAGGACTAATGTTAGACATCTCTTCTCAGCATTACAAGGATCTAAGACATCTCCAGAGGCCTCGGGATGGAAAATGCTGCCCACATCCAAAGAAAGAGCTGTGGAAGTCGAATCGCTCTCACTTATTTTTACCTTCTGTTGAGTTTTGTTTCCTCTTTCTGATGATTTCTCCTATTGGTTTTAATTTTTACTTACAACTTCACTAATATGAAAATATGTTTAATGGGTATATAAATGTAAAGCCTATGTCAGATTGTGCGCCGTCTTGGGGGGGGGGAGAAAAAGGGAGAAAAAGTTTCAACTCTAAAAAAAAAAAAAGAAGAAGAAGCAGTTCCCAAATAACCACCCTGGAACTCCAGTATCATTTCCTAATGAGGAAACCAGGCCACACTTTGAGTGTCATAGATCGTAGTCATTTGGCAAATTTCAGCCTGGTCTCTGGATGTCCTCAAAGTAAGCTTTTCAGTCCTTGCCTGTTTTGCTGTTGTGGATGAGCACGGCTCCAAAGCTAACAGGCTCCTCACCTGGGTCTCCTTAACAAACTCTTTTTTTTTGGCTAGGCAATGGGGTTAAGTGACCTGCCCAGGGTCACACAGCTAGTAAGTGTCAGATGTCTGAGGCCAGATTTGACCTCAGGTCCTCCTGACTCCAGGGCTGGTGCTCTACTCCGCCACCTAGCTGCCACCTAGCTACCCCCCCAACCCCTTAACAAACTCTTGACAACCATCCCCCACTTCCCTTCTTCCACTTCCAGTTTCTCCTTAAGCTATTGTTTTATCAATGTTCTCTTTCTCCTTAAGACATTCTCCTCCTTCTCAAGTCCTTGTACTGCTGTTTTCCTTCTTTGTGGACCTTCCAACTTTGTACGCTTTTCCTTTCCCTAATTCCTGCTGCTCCAATTCTTCTTCAGTTGGCCTTCCATTTTTCCTTTCAATTGAGTAATTCCCAGATACTCTTAGGAATTTTCTCCTGCATCTCAAGCCTTCTGCCTTCCTAGAGATGTCTTCAAATCACCTTCATCATTCTTTTCCCTATTGCAACAAGTCAACTAAATTCAACAAATGCATATTTATTAAATGACTTCTTCAATGCAAATCACCATACTTTAACCTTAACATCACAGTCCTAGATGTGTTCATAGGGGGAGTACAAATGTCATTAGAGAGAGCAAAAAATGGGAAGCCCAGCCAGATTAGGCCAAGTATACATGACATCATGGACTTTCAGGCTGGAGGCCACACAATTTAGATGACGTTTAAGATTTGTTTTATGAGGCATCTAAGGAGGAGAAGATACTGAAGGCTTAGAACAAGTCTGGAATCTTCTTGATACTGAAAAAAGGCAACTAAGAGAATTTCTCAACGATAGCCCATTTCTGTAG